TGGAACATGCTCCTGAGAGAATCTTGGCGGGTTTTAGTAGATGGATGCAAACTGACCTATGGTGAAAATCTAGTATTTTCTGATTTTCTTGGATTTGGTTTGAGCTATCGGGAATCGGAATATACCATTCGATAGAGCTCATCGAGTTGTACTCGAAACACCAGTGGAAAGTTTGGAACATGTTCCTGGGCGAATCTTGGCGGGTTTTACTGCCTAAAATCGAGAGTTTTTGTGCTGATACTCTAGTATTATCAAATTTTCTCAGACTCAGTTTGGGTTATGAAAAATCTGAACACGCCATTCGATAGAGCGCGTCAAGTTGTACTCGGAACACGAATGGAACACTTGGAACATGCTCCTGAGCGAATCTTGGCGGATTTTAGTGGATGGATGCAAAATCACCTATGGTGAAAATCTAGTATTTTCTGATTTTCGTGGACGGTGTTTTATTAGCTATCGGGAATTGGAATACACCATTCGATAGAGCTCATCGAGTTGTACTTGAAACACACCTTGGGACAGTTGGAACATGTTCCTGGGCGAATCGTGGCGGGATTTACTCGAATCTGGTGCTAACTTCACCTACGTATTTATTTCATTACTTTTGCATCATATATTTTTCTGCTTTATCAAATTGATTTACTCTTTCAGTGACATATTCTTGTCGACAAACATTTCGGAAACATTTCTTAATTATGTCTTGAACTTTTGAAAACAATTTATTGGCAATTAAAAAAATGTCATTGGTCAACGTTAAGAAAATCAAACAAACAAACTTTGGTTGATAAAATATAAATTTAAAAACTAGATTATATATTCTCTATTATTTTATTTCTAGTTTACTCAATCTCTATATTGATGTATGTCTGATGTATTGTTTATGTAACTAATAAAATCTAAACTAATATTTTTCATTCTGTTTCTTTTTTTGTTAATATTGATCAGATATATCTTAATGACAAGTTGGATATTGTTGTTAATATAAATGAAGAAAATAACGACGATTAACAGATAATTTCACATAAACTTGTTGCATCCTGAAATCAAAAGATCATTGTTTGAACTTAAAATACATATATATATATATAAGTATTGACTATACTTTGCATTGACAAACAAGACATTTATGAACATGCCATTTAGTGCCATTTTTATGTAATTTTCTTGTATTTTGATCATAACAATGTGTACCAGTCGTTAAACGTTTATCAAAAGTTGCAAACTAATCAAAAAAAGAATAAATCATTTATTGAAATAGAACAAAAAAAAATTAATTATTCTAACTTTCTTTAAAACATCATCGACTTGTTGACGAAGTTTTTCTAATTCTAATTGATCATCTTTTGTTATTGTTTCATCTTCTATTTCTTCTTGTTGATTTTGTTCTACAATTTCTCTTTTTTGTCGTGCATTAGTAGTAGATCTGGATGGTTCATAATTAGGAAAGGGATCATATGAAAGTATTGCCGGAATATTACAAACTAGGAGAAAAGAATATTTATTTGATTATTTTAAAAAATGTCAAATCATATTGTCTTACCTGCATTAGGTCCAGCCATATTTTGATTACAACATCCACGCCATGGTTCAAGATCAATATCTTCTATATGTGAACATGGTACATAATCACGTGGATACATTGCATTTAAAAATACATTGCGTGGTACTTGTTCAATACGATCTCCATTTTCACAAAGCACTTTAGCTAATGAAGTTTTTTCTAATGAATTCATTTGTTGAGGTGTAAATATACCAGATTTTTCATGCCAATATCTACAATATATAATTCATTTTTGTTTGATGTCAATCATTAAACAAATCATTACCTATCTCCATCTCTAAGTGCTTTAAATTGTTTAATAATTAAACAACGAAAAAGTGGTCCAACTTTTGCACCAGGTAAATTATCTTCAAGTATTCCACCTACCCAAACATCAATATTATCAACATGTTTATAAACATCGCGTAATGTATCACGTGTTTGTTGATCACTTATATCATGACGTAAATCCTCAAAATTATTAATATCATTTGGTGTTAAATTACAAAATTTTCTCCATGCTGTATATGTTTGTAAACCATGATCACGACTACGTTGAATATTTGCTGCAGCTAAATCAAGTGATATAGCACGTGTGACATGAAATAAACGTTCAGTTAATTCAACATTAAGAATTTGTTGAGGTAATTTTATTTTAGCTGATACACCAAACATTCCACGTAATAATGGATCAATACCACCTTGTTCTTTAACACGCCATGGAGAAAAAAATGCATCACGAAGAAGAAGATTTCCTTCAGAGATTGGTTCAAGACTTGCATTTAAACGATAAAATACTGGATTAATTAAACCATGACCAAAACTTTAAGAAAAAAAATTATTTTATTGAATTTCATTTAAATATAATTGTCTATACCGAAATGCAGCAGTAGCAAATACATTGGATACTGTTGGATTAACATTTCGACTATACCCTTTATATGATCCAAGCATATTCATACCTTCATCACCGACAATATATGGTAACCAATGTTTATATGTTATAATTTGTAATTGTGCTTCAACAATTTTTCTTGTTTCTTGATAAACTTGTTCATCCGACCAATTTGGATTCATTGAACTGAGTTGTTTAGCTAAACGATTATGTTGTCGTACCCAAAGAGTATGCATTGCAATTAAAGCAACTTGTTCATTTACTCGATGATCTTTTTATAATGAAAAATAAATAAATAGATAAAATAAATTTCTTTTGTAAATACCTCCTGCAAGAAAACAACCAATTTGTGATGCTTGTCGATCACGTTGACAGTCAACTGGTGTATCAGTACTGAATGGAAGTAATCCTTTTGGATATTGAGGTGTACTTTAGAGAAAGAATAAATGATTTATATATATATATTAAATTTTTTTTAAATTAATTTACGTATGAATTCTAAGAAGACCTTTTCCTGAACTACGTTCTCTTAAATCCCAAGCGTCCTGTACAGTCGAACCATAAACATTTGATGCATCGAAAAATGATGTTAAAGAATTAATTTGTTCACGTCGATATGGTAAATGAAGAAATGATGTTTCACCACTTAAACATATAGCAGCTGATCGTACAAATTCAAGACATGAACCACGTTCTGCACGCAAATGATCATCATCAGGAACACGTATAGGGTAACATGGAGGTTCAAATGAACATGATGATAAACAACGAAGACTATCAGAAAAACGTGTATTACTTGTTGCTTGTACTGTTAATGACATATCATGATCTATTTTTTATATAATTAAATTAGTGATAAGAAAATAAATATTTTCAAATATAGATTTGCTTTTTTACCTTGAAATTGTCCCCATTGCATAAGCATATGAGAAAAAGCTGGATCAGGTGTAATAGTTTTAGTTGCTATTAATCTTGCTGATACTTCACGTGCTGATGGTAATACATAACCATTATATAATTTGCTTTCATTCCAACCACGTGGTGTATTAAAACCATTTTCATATTGTGCATGTAACCAACGTGTTAAAGCTGTTAATGAAGCACCCCAAAATGGATTTTTTAAATTATTACATGTACCATCGGCTGTACGATATGCCATACATTTTTCATTACAATGAGAATTTAATTGATGCACTACACAACCAGCTACAAGTGCAAGACGTTCTAATTGACGAGCTGTAAGATAATGATCAGGTCGAAAATCTAAAGAAGAAATTTTCTTTTTTTCAAATAATTTTTATTTTTGTTCTTCTAAATTAATTACCATTAGGTCGAATTTCATTTCTTGAATATTCACTTGCAAATGTAATATTATCAACATAACGATGAACAAGATCAAGTGCACGTTCAAAAATATCTTCTGTTTTAGCTAAGGTTAATTGTAATGGTTTAGGAAATTTCATTAATGACATTAAATCTCCTGGTGTTCGTGGTCGACGACGATCTTGTAAATGACGTACGGTTTCTGCAACTGCACGATTAACTTCTGCTGATGCTTGTTGGACAAGACGATCAATAAGTTCATCAGTTATTTGATTATCATCTAAAAAACAATATATTCATTTTTTTATTCGAAAATATATATTTTATTTCAAACTTACTAACAACAGTTACCCAAAATGAATGAATTTCTTTTCCAGCATAATTTGATGCTTGACATGTATAATAACCGGATTGATTAGCAGTGACACGTGGAAGTAAAAGTGAACCATCTTCTTTTAATATATATTGAACACTATAATGAACAGGTATACTATCTCGAAACCATTCAATTTTTGGTTGTGGATCTCCAGTAGCTGTACATTCGAGTTCAACTGATGCACCATCATATGTTGTTAAATTTGACATACGTCGAGAAAACAATGGTGGTACTATATAGAATAAAGATTTTTTAAAAAAATTAATTAAAAAAGAAAACTTTTACCAGGATCTTCAACACGAACATCAGTTGATGCTGATATACGTCGAAGAGAATTTTCTGCAACACAAGTGTAAACGCCTGCATCATCACTTCGTAATTTATTTATACGTAAAATTTGACTATCATTAAGTAACCGCATACGATGTGATGATCGGATGGTTATATCTAATTTCATAATAGATACTAGAATTGCATATATAAATATATATATATTTAAATACATACGAGATTTCTGCCATGTAATTGTAGGTCTCGGATTTGCACGAACTCGACAATATAATTCAATAGATAAATTTTTTAAGCCAACGCGATATGTATCCGGTAATGGAGTGAAACGAGGAGCAACTTGAATATAAGTTAAAAAATATAATTAAAAGAAAATTATCTTTTATCTTACAAAGTACAGTTAAATTTGCTGATGCTGTTTTCATTTCAACTGCATTACGTATCGTACAAGCATATATTGCTTCATCATTTTCATCAACATTTACAATTTGAAGATATTGACTAGTTATCATATGTTTTGAACTAACACCTATCGGTGTATCATTCTACAAAAAACAAAACAATTTCTAAATATTATTTATTAGTATTATAATATAATAATATACTTTAAACCATATGATTGGACTTGATGATGAACTACAGTAAAAAATTGCATTACTACCAATAGCAGTTTGTGTTGATTGTGGTCGACGATAGAAAACAAGTGGTTCTACAATCATTATATATCATATGCAAATGAAAATCGAAAAATTAATAATTACCTGTTCCTATTTGTTGTTGTGCATCATAATCATCATAGTCATCAGAAGATAACTGAGATTTTACATTGACAATAATACTTAGACAGATAATCAAATAAAAATATTTCAAAAACATATTGATTGTTTCCTTCAAGCAAAAAAAAACAAACTTAACAAACTATGTACAACAAGAAGTAATTACGAGCTAACACTACAGCTTCGGTTATAGTATGACAGTTTCTATTAGAGAGATATGAAGAAAAAAAACAGCAAATATCCTCGTTATTATATCCTTCTGTTTCTTGTGGCTTTCTTCTGCTTTATGAATAATAAATAAGCAAGGTTAGTAACACGTACATAAGGTTGGATAACTGTGCACATATATCTATTTTCCTTTCAGCAGAAAAAAAGACCGATAATTGATTCTGGTATCAAAGATCGAATAACTGATGCAAATATTTTGCGAGTGGAAATAGATTTAGCTAATGATCATAGACACGTTATCTTCTATTACATATAAGAGATGATTGATAATGTATACAGTAAGATTGAATACAGAACTTTATCAGATAACTGAGACAAAAAAAAACATAATGACAATCATACAAAGAAAAACTCAATAGTAATGAGTAACATTTATTGAAATCCAAACATGATATCATTGTTTTGCAACACATTTGAAAGATTGCCAATTATTGATTCTTGACTTTATCTAATATCATCTTCAATCATTTATTTAAGAACAGAAAAAAAAATCTACACAATCTCTGAGAAAAAAAAATATATTTTGATCTATATCTGACATGAAAAATCTAATCTTTATTTTATTTATGATCGACATAATTGATGCATCACCGTACAAAGAAAATCCATCATTTGTAAATATTCATCAGCTCCATCAAGTAAACATCCATCCACAATCTAACATAAAGAAAAAAAAATGAAGTTTTCACAAAAATTATCTTCTTTCATTAATTTTATCTTACAGCTGCTTTTTCAAAAATAATTGCTTTTTGTTCATTACCTAATGCCATTTGTCCCAAAATATAATCATGTAATTGTAATAATAATTGATGAGCTGCATAACCTTCTAATAATACATTCTAATGAAAAGAAAAAAAATGATATTCTCAAAATAAGACATCATAGATTTATTTTTACCTTAACTGTTGTTGTCAATTTTTCATATGAACCAGAATGACATACTTGATAAAGATTTTCAATAACACTCTCTGGAATAATCTATACATATATAAATAATTCTTCTATACTTTATTTATATTATATTTAATTACGTACACCAGTTATTTCATGTACATCAGCTACTGTTATTGTCATATTTGTACGAAAACGAGCAACACTTTGTAAAAATGTTACTGCTTTACGCATATCACCTTCAGTACATTTCACTAATTCAGTTATTGCCTAATATATTAAACAAAATTTAAATATATTTGAATTATAAAAATAAAAACCTCTGGTTCATATTGAACATTTTCATTATTACAAATAGTCTGTAAACGTTTTTCAATAATATTATCTTTTAATGGTTTAAAACGAAATTTTGCACAACGACTTGTTATTGGATCGATTATTCTTTAAAAGAAATATTGATTTATTATTAAATCAATATACTATCTAAAAGTATATTTACCGGCTAATATAATTACAAATTAAACAAAATCTTGTTGTTTTAGATTCACGTTCCATTGTTCGACGAAGAGCTGCCTAAGAAAAATTATTAATAATGATTATAATCATATAAAAAATTATCTCTTTTACTTGAGCTGCTTTTGTCATTGAATCACATTCATCAAGAATAATCAATTTAAATGGTGGACAATACATACCACTAGAATTTTATGAATTATTACAAAGAAATTATTATTTTTCTTTCTTACTCAGAACGTGTTGTAATAACAGAAAATTGTGCAAATTTTTTAACTTTTTCACGTATAACATTAATACCACGTTCATCAGATGAATTCAATTCCATAACTCGATCACGAAATAATTGAGGTCTAATATGATGAACAAAAAAAAAATTTTACTAAATCGCTTTCATTTATCAAAATTATTTACCCAAATAGTTCATGAGCTGCTGCTAAAATAGTACTTGTTTTTCCAGTACCTGGTGGTCCATAAAATAACAAATTAGGAAACTAAATAAAATTGGATAATTCAAAGAAAAAGTCTATTCTTTCTTCTATAAAACTTACATCACTACCAGCTAAACATTTTGTAAGTACTGCAACAACTTCATCTTGATAAGCAACATCACTAACTTTTTTTGGTCGACTAATTGTAGAAGAAAAAAAAATACATACTTCTAAATCAACACAAATAAAACAAATATATTACTATTTTTCAACCCATGGAATAAGTCGATCATTTTTTGATTTATCTTCTTTCTCTGTTGTTGTTGTTGTTGTTGAAGTAGGAGGAGGATTTTTTGTAAACATTGCTGGTACTATTGTTTTTTTAACCGTTTGTTTTTTTGACATTTTTAGAAAATAAAAAAAATTTATCTGAAAAATAAAACCGGATTAAAACCAAAGTTTCACTTAAGAAAAAAAAAAAAGAGAATAAATAACAAAAAACAACAACAAATAAGATAAAATTTAATTAGATAATCGCTGTAACTCTTGTATTAACCGTTTAATACCAACAATAAAACGAACAACCTGAAAGAGACAAAAAAAATATGTATTTAAATTCAATAGAATTTTATAAAAAAAAAAAGAAATTACTTCTGAACTTGCATTTCGAACCAATACCACATGCATATCAAATGCTTGTTGTACATGATTCGAATCGAGTTCACGAAATATATTTGATAATGTTTGTTTTGTATTTAATGATAATTTATCTTGACACCATTCGTCATGCATAACTTGAAATTTTTTATAAATATCTTCGAGAATTTTTTTCTAGAATAGAAAATTTTCTTTTGAAAAATATCTCTCATATTTACTAACGAAATTATACTTCAACACTTGATGAATCTTCTAATTTTTTAAGTTGTTTTTTAAATATTTCATTCATTTCTTCAATAGTTAATAGATCATTTTTTGATGAAGTATCATTATCTGATGAAATAGGTGTAGATGTTGTTGATGGAGAACATATTGGTGGTGCTGTTAAAATATTCGAAGCTAAAATAAAAACATAGAAATATATTGAAAAAAACACTACAACCATTTCAGTTCATACGATTATTTGTTGAAGTCGGATCTTGATTTGTATGTGGAACGCGTTTATTAAGTAAAACACGTTTTGTTGACATATTATCAGATAAAGCAAGATTAGCTGGTGGGTCATTCCAACCATCGATAGTTGATGATTTATTCGGTGGATTCATCTAAATAAATTAAGAAAAAAAAAAAAAAAAGAAATATTTGAAAAATTAGGAGTGACTTTAGACTATATTGTTTATTTCAAAAAGAATGAAAAACTACTAGTTTAAGTTGTTTTACAGGAAACATGAAGGACATAAGGAAAAGGAACATATGCTCTATAGTTTAGTTCGGACGAATGGATTCACAATATATTTAATTTCAATCAACGCTGTCTTTGTAAAGTAATTTGACGACTAGAAATAAAAAAAAACAACAAGAAATATTCAGTCGATATTAACAGAAATAAATAATAACGTACGTTTAAGACGATCTTTAGCTTTCAAATGATTGTATGTAGTTGAAGCAGCCTGATAAATAATATAAACCAATATAATACCTTGAGCTGCAAGAAGAAGTCTATCTCGTGGCATCATAACCCAAGTTGGTGTAGTCTTGTTACGCTAAATAAATAATTATAATTATTAACAAAAATCATTTTTTTTTCCAATATTAAAATATTATTTACTAAAGCTTCGATCTGTAATTGTTGAATACGACGAACACGATTTTCAACATATCGATCAAGTGTACCTTTAGTACGTTTTACTTGTGTAACTGTATCAGTATCACCTTTGAATGGTGTACGCCAAAGATTCACACCTTCCCATGGAGCAACATGCGAATCATGACCATGACCACCAGCAACAGCCCCGTATGGTGATGATGATGTAGCTACAGTATGAGCACCAGCAATCGAACCTGAACCAGTACCGACCTTATTCGAAAGAAAACGAAAGAGTGACATTTTATGGTCAGCTATGTTTTCTTATATTGAATCAAAAATCACACGGTTGACGATCTTTTGATTGTACGACAATGAAAACAGTATTTGATGCTTCGATATCACCGAAACTCTACAATAGAAAAAAAAAACAGAAAAAAAGTTCATATCAATTTTTATCATTTTAAATAGTATCAATTAAAAAGTGACCTGATAATTAAGGCATATATAAGTGTGTCCTGAAGTCTCCAAGAGTAGGAGGTAAGAATCAATGACTTAGAAGAGTGACTGGAAGATTTTTTGCTAAAATTGACCAGATTAGGAGGTAGGAAGACCTCAAGTGTCTTTTTGAGAACTGGTGAACAAACAAAAACAGATAAAATGTTGGAACGTCGCTGAAGAAAAACAAAAATTTCTCAAGAATAGGGGATGTAATCTCCTGACCCCACTAGAGACACCACCATTGGATATATTTTCATAAGTAGATTATATTTATAAAATCTTTAGATTCAAAAAAACCTTAATATTTCTCTTTTACTTTGTATCCAATCGTTTTTTTTTCTATTCTTATAAAAGAACAGAACAATTTTTACAAGCACAAAAAAAAAACTTGTACACTTCCAGCACCATAAAAAAAAACCATATCAGCATAATCAGATTACGGTCGACATATATAAAGATATATATATATATATATCTACACATATATTCGTACAGAATCAAAAAAGTATTCAATGGTACGACCATTTTTACTATTTGTCTATGTGGTAAAAATCTTTGTTCTAATACAAAAACTCAATGGAACAACTGAATATGATACATATTTTCATGTATTTTCAAAACAAAATATCGATAAACCGAAATCAATATTATGGACAGATAAAAAAAAATGGTTGAAAGAAAAATCTTTTCAAAATTGTTCAATTAAATTAATTGCTCATGGTTATGCTGAACGATGGAATATGGATTGGCGATGGGATTGGGTTAAAGATATGAAAAATGAATTACTAAATAATAAAGTAAAAGAAAATTTTTGTGTTATTGCTATTGATTGGGAAAAAGGTGCACGAGAAATTAATTTTATAACAGCTGTTGCCAATGCTGATATAGCTGGAGAACATTTAGCAGAATTTATACAAAATAATCATATTGATCCTAAACGTTTACATTGTATTGGATTTAGGTAACAAAAATTTTCTTTCTTTTTATTATTACAAAAAAATTTATCTTCTTTATTTGATAAATTTTTTAGTCTTGGTGCTCATCTTTGTGGATTTGCTTCTAATAATTATTTTGTAATATCAAATAAAAGAGCTAAATTTGCACGTATAACTGGTCTCGATCCATCTGGTCCACTTCTACGTAAAGCATCCGTTGATAAACGTTTATCTCTTGATGATGCTGATTTTGTTGATTGTATTCATACATCAAGAACATTTGGTTTACAAGAAAAAAGTGGAAAGATGGATTTTTTTCCTGACGGTGGAAAAAGTAGTGCAACAGGATGTGAAAAACTTATTGAAATTAAAGATAAAGATGAATTTGAAAAAAATTATCGTATTAAACGATTTATTTTTGGACGAAATCGAAAACAAGAAAGTGATACTGGTGAAGATCTACCAGAGAAAGGTTTTATTGGAATAATACGTGATCGAATTGGAAAATTACGTGCATTAAAAAAAGTTTTTCTTAATATTCATGCTTATATCGGTTGTAATCATCTTCGATCACCACATTATTTTATATCATCAATTAATCAATGTGATTTTCGAGCAAAACTCTGTTCAACATGGTTGGATTACATATCAAAAAAATGTAAAGATTCAATTGATAATGATTTAACTTATCCACGTATGGGTTTTCATGCTGATAAAAGTGATCTTATCTATCGACGTGGGGATAATAGTTTCTATTTAAAAACAACATCAGAAAAACCTTACTGTTCATCCTCATCATCATCTGCTACTGAAAAAAATCCCAAAACACGAACATCCGTAAAATCGAAATTTAAAAAAAAACTAACAAAATATCTTCCTAAAAAAGTTGGCTAAGATAAATAAAACAAAACAAAATAAATGCATGTGTGTGCAGTTTGTTTTTCTTGAATATTATACAAAATAAAACTGTTTGTGATCAATACATATCAATCAAAAAAAAAAACTTCAACACACGTACAAATAAAGGAAGAAGAAGAAAAAAAAATAAAAATTCCACAATAATAATGCATTGGAGACGAAAAAAAAGACCGACAGAAAAAGAAGTGTAATCTATTACACAATCATACATGGAGAAGAACAAAAAAGACTGGATGTAATAGTTCATTAATTATATTAGTTAAAGAAAAGAAAAAAAAAAATTGTCTTTAAATTGCACATTTACAATATCATTAAAAATACATGAACATAGGCGATGAATTCATTGTCTTACAGGCTCATGAAGAAATAAAATATTTTTGTATTTCTAATAACAGCGTGATGAGCAAAAAAGGAACTATTTTTCACAAAGAGAAAAAAAATATATACCGAAGACGAACAACAGCGAAAAGAAAAACATTAAATTAAACGAAGTATTTATTTATATATATATTTATAAATATATTTATAGAATAAATCATTTCACTTATTATTCAAGACCACCAAACATTTCTTGACTAGCATAAGTCATATAAAGAAAACCATCATCATCCTCGATAATAGAAGAAAAAGAAAATTATGTTAATTAAATTATGTTTTTTTTTTTTTCTTATTCTTACTTTGTCATCACGATAGATTTCAGCCATAGAAGTAGACATTGAAGCAATACTTTTATTATTAACCAATAAATAAAATGCTTGATTGGCATTTAATTGCATACGATTTCTAATAGAAATCAATAATTAAAACAAAATTTTTCATTTCAACTTACCGAATAATTGTCACAAATTGTGACATTGTCAATTCTTGAGGTACCAAAAATTTTGTTTTATCTGTAAATATAATAAAATCTATAGAAAAAAAAACCAATAAAGATAAATTTATTTTACCAAGGACAGGTAGATCTTTTTCTTTATGATATCGTTCAACAATAACTGGAATTTCTACAATCATGAAAATTATTATTATTCAATGAATATAGAATAATAAAAAGATCCTTACTATTTGGAAATTTACTTCGTATACCGGCCACTTCTTCTTTACGTGTTGCTTTAGAAATACGAAAACAATAAGTTCTTTTTTTTTTTTCTTCTATAATAAAAATATATTACTTACCAAAACTTTTCCGTTGTTTAAAAGTACGAGTATCGACATTTGCAGATGGCATTTTTTTTTTATTTGTGTCGTTCACTTAATAACCAAAGAAAAATTTGTCTTAATAAATATGTCGTTATGTGTATTTCAATCTTAAACAAACAACGAAAAAATAACCAAAAACAAAAAGAACTGCTGATGATAAAGCAAACAAAATTAATGTATATCTCTGGTGGAGATAATAGTATGACGCTTTTAAAATAAATCTTAATAGAAAATGACACAACACTAAAAACAAAAAAAAAAGAAAAAGGAAATCTGACTCTTTTTATGTGACGTCATCTTACATACGTGAATAAGCACCCTGTGTGTACTCTTTCAAAAATAAAACAAACGATTCAACCAATTTTTTTTTTTTTGATCATGTAATCATAGGAAAATGCTATTGAAATTGATGGGAAAAGAAATAAAAAGCAAAATAAAAAGAAGAACGAATGTAGAAACTATCAGTTATTGTTGCGCTACTTGCCAATAAAAAAAAAGACGAGCGGGTGGACTTTTCTTTCTTTCCGTTGTTCGTCGTTCTATTTCTTTTATTTTTTACTACACATCAATTTAAGTTAACTATTAACGTCGAGCTGCTGCATATGCCTACACAACTATACTTCGATGTATATAAAATATTTTCGTGTTTTCTCTATTTTTTTTTTCTCCTTTTCTGTTCTATTCAGATAGAATTAAAGGTATATACAACTCTTCCTCTCTCACATATTAATGATTAATTATTAGTCAATACTAGTTCTATTAAAGTAGTTTTTACTTTCTAATTGCCATCTTACGATACCTAACATCGAATATTAAAAAAAAAAACATAAAAATAATTACGGGCAAAGAATCTGAGTTGTCGTTTCTTTATGTCTCGTCATTGATTGAGGTAAAAGGGATGTAGAGATTTGATCCATTTAGAGTGTGTCTTTAGAAGTATTTCTATAGAAGCAAAAATAATGAGCTATTGGCTCTAAAAAAAAAAAAAAAGCTCGGCTTTTTTTTCTTAATTTTCTATCCCGAAAGGACACAAAAAAATAAGCAGACAGAAAAGAATCATTCCATAATAAAAAAAAAAAAAAAAGAAAAGAAAAGAAAACAATAAAACCTACTGTACAATTGAACGTAAATTAAAAATTTTTTTAGTATGTTTTCTTTACCCACATATTTGTTTTCATACACACATTATAAATAAAAGTATACTGTACATAAAATGTTTGAATTATTGTTATATTTAAAAAAAAAAAAAACAAAAACAAAATTTTACTCGTTTCTTTCTTTTTTTCTTGTTATGAATAATTCGTTTCATATGTTGAAGATTGTCGAGTATTTGATGAAGTAGATGATTGTCTTATATTATATTGTTGTGAACTACTTGATGAATAACGTGATGATGATATCATTTTAATTTGATTTTGATGTTGTGATAATAATGGATATAAACATTCATCTAATATATCAGTTTCACAATAAAGTTTAATTGTACGTAAAAGATAATCAATTTGTATAAGTAAATAATTTGCTGCTATATAAACATCATCACGATTACTATCTCGAAAATAAGCTTTTAATGTATTACTAAAATTTTTACTATATTTAATAAATTCTTTTTTTTCATTTTCTAATGCTTGTCGTCCATCAGTTGTTTTAAAATATTGTAAAGTATTTGTAACACTATCAAGTGTTTTTTTAATTGCACTTGCAATTTCTTTAATTGTTTCAAGAAATTCACGTTTTTCATTAATATCATCAGGTATACGACTTAATATACGTTTAAGATTTTTTGTACGAAAATTTAATTCATGAAAGACTTGTTCATTATGTAATGATAATATAAAATAAGGTGTTTTATCACAATATTTTTCAATTTTAAGTGTTAATTCATTCATATTAGTTGTTGTAGTTGTTGGTAATAATGATGGTATTTCTCTGTTAATAAATGATTGAACAAAATTACGAGAAAAACCTGGATAAATTTCTTCTAATTTAAATAATGTCGTACGTAAATCGGATTGTATATCTTTATAACCTGATTTATCCATTTGATCAATTACAGGATATAAAATATTTGGTAAAACAAGCGCATTTGTTGGATTGAAAACTGATGATGATGATGTTCCTTCATCAATTGATGCCATCATAAATTATCTGAAAATAACAAATAATACAACAATAAACTACTTCTAATTTCATTGAATGAAAAGAATTATCATTGAAGTAATGATCATAAACTATCTATCCACTATCGAATTTGTTTCTCAATTGAAATACGTCGTTTATTTCTATCAGACATCTTCTACTTCATCTTTATGATGATTTTAACTGCAATATTTGATGGTGAAGCTAAAGAATTACTCAGACCCTCGAAAAATGAAACATTCTTAAAAATTAAGGATAAGATTATACATTTTTCTCGGTTTCAGACGAGAGCTGAGCCCGTCGTCCTACAAGTTTTTTTTTAGTTTCATCATCGACAATATTTATGAGCACACTTTTACTCGATAATAATCATTACCATATCAGTCATTTTTCTTCTTCACTAGATCATAATAACAAAACTCTTATCTAAAATGTTCACCTATTAAATATCATATAGGAAAAAATCTAAACTATTATTTGCATAAACCATTATTATCTTTATGACAAAGAAAAAAAAAACAACAAAAAAAAAATCTCCTACATGGTCACACAACGCCATAAATCAATTTCAATAAACATCAGAAAGCCTCTTTGCATTATAATTTTTCATTGGTTAACATATTTTACCAATATAAAATTGTTAGGTGACGTGAATTCTATATATATATATTGTATTCTTATTATTACTTTTCTTTTGACTGAAATAATATAATGTCGAATATAAATTTATTTCCTGAATTGGATAATGAACAAACACATGAACAAGAATATAATAATGGTCATAATGAACATAAAGAAGAAGAATTAATTGTTTTTGGGTATTCATGTAAATTATTTCGTGATGATTTTTCTGCAAAAGCTATTGATCGTGGTCAAAGTCTAATACCATGGAATGGCGATGAAAATGTTATGATTGACAGGTGTGCAAAAAAACACTTTACTGTTTCTTTTGTTTTTTGTTTTAAATTCGATAAAACATATAATGAAAAACAAGAAAAATTTTATAAGAGACATCTACTGATTTTTCTATTTTATTTTTCAATGAGATAATAGAAACACGTAAGTGTGTTGGTAGTATTTATTTACGATTTTAGGAAAAAAAAAATAATGATAAATGGCTATAATCAGGTGAGAAGCTGCTATTTCTTCTACAATTTGGTAAGTTTATCTTATCTCTTTTATATTTATATTTATATATATGTATAAGTGAAATTTTTTTTTTTTTTTCTAAATGTTATTCATATATTCTTTTCAATTCTCTTTTTTATTGCAGTAGCACAGACAATTCATCTCGAAAGTCTTTCTTAGAAATAAATAAAAAAGAGAAGCATTAAAAAAAAAAAAGAAGAATTCTTTTTGTTTTCTTAAAAAAAAAAAGAAAGAAAAATTGATTTTATTATTTTATTATTTTAAGTGTCTATTTTTTTTCTGAATTTTTTAGGTATGATTGTCGTGGTCATTTATCTGATTTGACATTATGGGATAGTGATTTAATACGAAATAAACAATCAAATAATGAAGAAAATTTTTTAAATGAAGAAGAAAAACGTATTGAAGAAGAATGTGATCAAGAAAGATATTTAGAGTTATATAGAAATATAGAAAAAGAAGCTTTACAACATGGTAGAGAAAAAAAATAAGTTTAATAAATTAAATTCATTCATTGATTGTTTGATGTTTAGAAGAAACAATAAAACGTATTAATTCTGATAAAAATGCTTATAATCAAGTTGGATATACTTACGATGATTCAAATAATTCAAAAGAATCGTCAAATAAAACAACGGAAGGTAAATTTCATGTTTACAAAGTTTTTTTTTTGACTTAGGAATAAAATGGAGAAAACCAAATATCTGCATTAGATAAAAGAATAGGATTGAAAATGACCTACTTTATGTTTTAATCTTCTTCATATCTACTCAAGCGAAAAATGAAGTTAAAATCTAATTTATTCAATAGATTTCATATTGAGATAAAAGGTCAGAGGAAATTGAAGGACAAAGATACATTATGTAAGTTTATTAGTGATAAAATATTGCTTAATATTCGATTTAAAAAATGACAGATTTTAATAAATATTGGTTTTTGTGAAATAGTTTCTTATCTTTAATAGTATTGCATTATTCTTGAGTAATATTTCGATAGCGAAGATGTCTTCTTCAGACAATCATATAAAGTATTATAACGTTTTGTTAAAGACTTCTTTTTTTTTGTTCTAATTTGCCTATTTTTTGACAGTGACACAGACAGGACGGCAATACTGAATAAGCGATCCGTTAAATAGAAAACAAGTATTTAACAAAATATTTATACATGTGTTCCTTGATCAATGCATTGTAAATTATTGGATTGTTGGAATCGAAGTATTATAAAGAATAATAAAAAACTGTCGAAAAAAAAAGAAAATAACTTTCATTCATCCTAGTAAAAATGATTAAGTTAATCAAAGATAAGATAACATAAATGAACTATAGGATGACTAACATTTCAATAAACGCGTTTTGAGATCGAAACCAAACAGACACTCTATGATTTATAATTTAAGTCTGAAAAGAGTAAACAGAATAGTTTATAGATCTGTGCCTTTATATATCTCGTCCCATTTCTATCCATTATGCAATTAATCAAAAACAAGTATCTTACAGTTTCGTTTAATCTTGAAGTACACCAAAAATTAAATAAACTATGAAGTTATATATATATATATAATAATCAAAACAAATCTACGTAAGGTATACTTACATTCTATTCTATAAAAATTGAGTTTGAAGTCTAATAGAATTACATAAGACTAGTTTTGACATACTTCTAATATAATTTAACATGACATGCATAATAAATTGCATATAGTAGTTCTTGATTTAAAAAGGAAAAACAATCATCTTCGTTTTCCGAATATACACTCTAACATTGTTTACGATAATAATAAACTAGAAATATATTTTTTTGTTCATGAACAATGTCTAACTCTATTAATCTGACGGATTTAATAAACATTCACTAATTATTTTGTTTGAAAATCAAAGAGTTTAAAATAAAAACGTTCGCATCAAGTAGTAAGAAGAATTGTTTTTATTTTATCAAATATTCTCTTAAAAGCAAAGTATTTCATTTTTATTAATCATTTATTTTTTTTCTTTTAGAAACTTCACAACCAGTTGATGATGATGATGATGAATATGATCCATTTTATCCCTCAGAAAAACTACAAATACCTTATGGCATGGATATTGTATGTTCATGTTAATAGAAAACGAATATTTTTTTTTTCTTAAATCTATTTATTTTTTCTAGCCTGAATCCATTAAATTAAATGCTGTGATTGAAAAAACTGCTAGTTTTGTATCTACTTCTGGTGTTCAAATGGAAATAGTTCTTAAAACAAAACAAGCAAATAATCCTCAATTTGATTTTCTTAAATATGATCATTATCTTAATCCATATTATCGTCATTTAATTATAATGATTAAATCTGGAAAATATCGACCTAATTTAGATAATAATTCAGCTAATAATAATCAAAAGAAAAAATCAAATAAAAATGGTATGTAAAAAAAAAACAAAACACCCCAAGTGAAAATATTTTATTGATTGTAATCTTATATAAATCTTAGGTATTGATCAAAATAGTAGTCATGATGAAGATGAATCAGGTGATTCATATTTACATCCACTTTTAAGAGGTGGTAAAAATAATGATAATATAAATTCAACAAAAAAAACTGATGAAACATTATCTAAACCATCAATACAAATGAATATTCATAATACAGCATATGGACAATTAATTAAAAAATATGAACATCTTAGACAACGTGAAAAGTATGTTAAAAGTTAAAACATTAAAATTTCATAGAGAATTTTCTTTTATAATTTAGAGTGGCGAAAGAAAATGAGGAAGAAAAAATGTCACCGAAAACAGAAGAAATAAAAAATGAAGAACTCTCGTATGATTGAGAATTGTTTCGTTTTTCATTTTAGAAAATAAATTTTTCATATTAAACTTTTTCTGTAGAATTCACATACATTTGAAAGAATTTAGTGAGTGTGAGTTTTGACTTGAAACATTGCGGCTCCTTTTTCAGACAACTGAGTTGCTACGTAGTTCAACAAGTATCCAGAAGGTACCAGGTTCAAACATGAGTATCATCGACCTTGATTGTTCAAGAATATTCTAAATCTTTCCTTAAAACTGGAGTGACTGAAATATGCTGATGAATGTTCTAATTAGTGTAGTTTCTCAGTTTATATTCAAAATGCAAACAATCAAAGGTAATGATGCTTTGCTTTGCCATGGTGGTCATATGATCAACATAAAGAAGCGTTCATCAATCAAGTGAGACTTTTGGACATGGTCAATATCAATATTTCGGGGCTTATTGAGATATATAACGGTACATTAAGACTTGTTGCCGATATAGTTAGAAAATGTAAAGCAACAAAGGAAACAAACAAAACGGAAAAAGAGCTCGAAATGCAGAAATATATAAGAGTCTGCTTTTCTATTGATCGATCATCATTGGAAAACAATTAAAGTGTACTAGAGATTTTCACTTGACATATTTTGTATTAGTATAATGAAACTAAAAAAACACATGATAGTTCCACTTTTCAGGCCGCAAGGGACTGCATTAACAAGCTTTCTCTCTCTCTCTCTCTACTAACTTTTTTTTACAATAAATTAATAAGACTTTTTATGTAAAATATGTATATATATTTTTTGTTAGACCTAAATCCGAATCATCTTCATCAACAAATGTAATTCCACCACCTCCAGATGTTAAACCAATAATAGATAAATTAGCTGAATATGTCGCACGTAATGGTTCAGCATTTGAACAATCAATTCGAACAAAGAATGATCCACGTTTTGGATTTCTCGAACGTGATCATATACATCATAATTATTACCAACTTAAAGTACAATTATGTGTGGTAAGAAACAAAAAGAAAGGAATTGAATAACAATAATTTTTTTATTTAATTTTGTAGCAAGATATTTTTCGTAATAAAACTGAAGAAAATCAACGTCCTGTTAATAATGATGAACAACAACTTGTACATGGAAAAGGTATTAAATTAGTATTAAAAACAAATATAGAAGAATCATTAACACCTACATGTCGAGAATTTAATTCTGATGATGATTCAAATTCAATGCAACAAAGTAATTATTTTATATCTTTCTTTTTTGGCATTTATTCACAAACTTAAGTTGTACGATATCGGGTTTTTTTAAATGGAAATTCACAATGGAGACTAGAGTTAGTTTTGTTTATCAAATGTACGTCTTAGTCAGTATTGATCAAGAATACTTGAATGGTAAATGATTGTTTCGCTTGACTTCTATTACTTTCACTCGATATGTGTATCGTCTTCTGTTCTATTGTGTAATCATTCAAGAAAGAGATGTATTTATAGAATAGTAGGAATGTTTATTCTAGAGTTCGCCTCGAAATGTTTTTTGATCGAGCGAAAAAATCTATCTTTTTATTAATTATTATTGATAATTGCACTCGAAAGATCATACTTGTCTAGCTTAAAGAAATTCGAAGCGCACTCCATAAAAACATGTAAGTGTAGTGCAAGCTTTATCCCGAAAAAAAGATTCCAGATCTTCTATTATGTCCGATTTATTTCCATAATTTTTTAATAAAAAAGATTTTTCAAAGACTAAAAAAATTTTGAAAATTTGCAAAGATATTTTGAAGGTTCTATAACAGGCAAGATATAATGTTGATCGCAGTCTTTTAAATTTTTCAGCCTCTATTGTTAATAATATACCTTTTTAATGTGTAGATGAGCAAGATGATAATAATGAATTTATTGGTCCTCGTCCTCCTTCACCTGAATTTCTTGAAAAAATGCGTAAACAAGAACAACGTCGTGATCGTGTTAGTGGTTTTGTACGCGATAAAATAGCACGTGATAAACAAGAAGAACGTAAACGAAAAGCTGAAATGCTTGTACAACAATTAAAAACTAAAACAAATGATTTACCATCAACTATAAATTCAACTGAATCAACAAATAATTCAAATATAAATCCAATACTTGTTGAAAAATTACTTAATGTTAAAACTGAACGTCAATCATCATCATTAATAACATCTCCACATCAACATCATCGTTCAAAACATTCCAGATCACCAACAAAATCTCGTAGTCATTCAAAATATCATCGTCGGTCACGATCAAGAAGTAATCATCGACGACATAGACGATCAGCTCATAAGTAAATTGTTATTTTTTTTTTTTATTTTCTTCTTTCATATTTTTCATTTTAGACGATCACGTACACCCTCAAAATCTCGAAATCGGCATCACACGAAAAAATCAAAAAAGTAAGTAATAATTTAATTTTATTTCAAAACAAAATCTTCAATAATTGAAAATTTTCTCTATATATACCTAAGTATATCCGTATTAAAAAAAAATTAGTAATACACTAGACTCTAGATTGATCGTATAAGACTGGCATACAAATTCATCTTATCATCTTTTCTTACAGACAAGTATCGTAAGTTGGATCTTGTTAGCTTTGTTTTTTTTATCTTTTTTTTCTTTTTTTCATAAAATAGAATTTTATTAATTTGAGTTTTTTTTTTTTTCTATTTATTATTTGAAGTTCAAAATCATCAAAATATAGTCGAAACCATCGTCGTCATCGTCATCGACGTCATCGACATTCATCAGCATCATCTTTATCATCAAATTCATCGTCAATATCAAGATCACCATCATCATCATCAGCGTCATCATCATCTTCTTCTTCATCTTCACATGAGCGAAGAAAAAAGAAAAAGATAACAAATAATGATGCTGAACAACGACAAAATCAGCGTAAACTTAATCCACAATCATCGAAGTGAGTTTGTACTAGATAAGCTATATTATGTAATCTATTATCTTTGAAGAGCTAAATTTAAACTTTAATATGACTCAAAAGAAAAAGTCTGTTTGTTTTTAATGTATTTACAATTTACTCTAATGATAACTAAATACTAATTATAACGCATTATAAACTATATACGGCTATCTTCTCAGACAAATCGGATTCGAAGTTTGATGTTTCCTGATTGTCTAAAGCAGATCAATTACTTCTTTGATAGCAAAAAAAAAACATTCCATTTAATCATATTATGTTTATCATACGTATACAAAAATAGAATGTACTTATAAATTGGTTTTTTTTTCTTTAGATGGGATCAACGAGAACCACCAAAAGTTAAATCTGAGGCATCATCTATTGAAACAGCTACAGCTGCTTCATCGTTATCAATCAACACTGAAACAACGTTATCGAACAGTACTTCTTGATATATATATATATGAGAAAAAAAAGAGACCTATTGCACAATGTAAATTTCATTTTTTTCTTTCTGTCTATTTTTGTTGTTGTTATTACTTCTTCTTCTTCTTTATGTGTGACTAGTCTGATTTGACGGCTATGGATATTTGCTAAAATAAAATTTCAGAGAAGAAAAATTTTTTTTTTTTAATTTTCATTCTTTTCTTTTACTTATAAATATATTTTATCTTTCCGATAAAATAAAGATGAAAAGTTTGTTTCAAAGATCATTGTTTTATCATATTAAACAAGTAAGAAAATATTGAAAGAAAAAAGAAAAAAATACATAACTATTTATTTATTTATTCATTATTTTCTAAGGCTCAACAAATAAATAGTAGACGGTTAATATGGACTGGTCGAGAATTATTACGTGATACTGATCCGGAAATGTATGAATTAATACAAAAAGAAAAAAACAGACAAAAAAGTGGTTTGGAAATGATTGCATCAGAAAATTTTACATCGCGTAGTGTTCTTCAAGCACTTGGATCCTGTTTAACAAATAAATATTCTGAAGTAACTACAGAATTCAATAAACTTTTTTTTTTTCTTTACAAAAAGACATGAAATAATTCTTTTTTTCTTCTAGGGTTATCCAGGTGTTCGATATTATGGAGGAAATGAATATATTGATGAAATTGAAACTTTAACACAAAAACGAGCACTCGAAGCATTTGATTTGAATTCAAATGAATGGGGTGTTAATGTACAAGCATTATCAGGTGTACCAGCTAATTTTGCTGTTTATACTGCACTTCTGGAACCGCATGGACGTTTTATGGGTTTAGATTTACCTGATGGTGGTCATTTAAGTCATGGTTATGCAACATTAACAAAAAAAATCTCATCTACAAGCGCTTTTTTTGAAGCAATGCCATATAAAGTTGATCCAAAAACTGGTCTCATAGATTATGAATCTCTTTCTAAAACCTCAAAATTATTTCGCCCAAAAATAATTGTTGCTGGTACATCATGTTATTCACGTAATCTCGAATATGATAAATTTCGTTCAATATGTGATGATATTGGTGCTATACTTGTTGCTGATATGGCACATGTTAGTGGTCTTGTTGCCGCTAATGTTGTTGCTAATCCATTTCAATATTCTGATATAGTTACAACAACAACACATAAAAGTTTACGTGGACCACGTGCTGCATTAATCTTTTTCCGACGTGGAATAAAAAAGAAACAAACAACAAAAAAAGGAATAAAAGAAGAACAAGTTGAAACATATGATTATGAAAGAAAAATAAATGAAGCTGTTTTTCCTGGTTTACAAGGTGGACCACATAATAATACAATAGCAGCTATTGGTGTTGCTTTAAAAGAAGTTGCTTCAAATGACTTTAAATTATATGCAAAACAAGTTATTAGTAATGCTAAACAACTTGTTAAAACACTTCAAGAAAAAGGATATACATTTGTTGCAGGTATAAAGTTGATAAAACCAAAAAAACAAATGATTTTTTTTGTTTTGCATTTTTTTTTCTTCTCTATTTTAGGTGGTACTGATACACACTTAGCTTTACTTGATTTACGTCCTCTTGGACTTGATGGTGCAAAAGGAGAGAAAGTACTTGAATCTGTTTCAATTGCTGTTAATAAAAATACATGTCCAGGAGATAAATCTGCTCTTAAGCCTTCTGGCATTCGATTAGGTAATGACAAGAGACATATGCACGTAACCTAAAAATATTAATTTATTCTTCTAGGTACACCTGCATTAACAACTCGTGGTTTTCGTGAAAATGATATAATTGAAGTTGCTAATTATATTGATCAAGCAATAAAATTAGCTGTTGAAATAAATAAATCCAAGGATGATAAAAAATCTTCTCAAGTAACATTAAAAGATTTTAAAGAAAATATGAAACGAAATGAACATTTAACAAATATACAAAATTTAAAACATTCCATTGAATTATTTGCTGAAAAATATCCAATGCCTGGTTATGATGAAATTTAAAAAATTCCAAAAAGACTAATCAAAAATGTGATTATTTGAAGTATTATCTTGTCTACAATCATAATTTCTTTTCCTGTTTTTTGGTGATCTATTTATTTTACCTTGGGTTTTTTTATTACTTAAATACATTAGATGATGATTTAACTCTTCATTTTCATATATATTTGAATACATGATTCTTTTGTTGTAGAAGGCTATAGAGAAGTATTTAGAATTCACGTAGTTGTTTTTTTTTCTGTTTTGTTATATTATTTCAATCATTTTAAACCATTATTGTATATGCCACTTCAGTCATACTTGTTTCAGAAGCTTGGTAATTTTATAGTTAATACGTCTAGACGAATGATTTTCATCAATGATATTAAACTATAAAAATGTTTGATTTCTATTTAAAAACGTACTTACATCAAATTCTGCTGAAATGTTAGGATTCAGTAAATTTACTTTTTTTACTTATTGTAAAAGGATACTTTCTAATTAAAATAGCGGAAGACAGCAAAAATCATGGATGTTTTAGAGCATACTGAAGAATACTATCTAATTATAGAAGAAAATGATATTCATTTATATGACTTTTTTTGCTATTTTAAAATATAATATTAAAATTTGAGAAGACAAATAAAAACCGATTATTCCAGATAAACATCTTGTTTTCTAGATAAATAATTTTTCTTTCGATCATCATCTATATATATTTGATATATTTCATTGAGAAAATGGTAAAGTTTCACAAAATTTATTTAAATTTGTCAATCTTTCTTGGAAACAGACAAAACAAAAGAAAAACAATTGTTCATTACAAAGCGATACGTTCTGATTGATCATGTTTCATATTAAATCGTGATGGATTTATTGTACGCATAGTTAACATTAGATGTGGACTTTCTCGACTTTTTGAATTTGAACATGAATTACATTCATATTTTGGTGTTATTGTTCTTGGAGCAGCCATTTTTCTTTGATCATCACATGCCATCATTTGTCGTTGAGTCATTATTCGACTATGTAGATGATCATGAAAAACACAGCAATGACGACACATAATTTGTAATGTATAACGAAATTTACAATTGGTTAAAGAATAAATAAAAAAATTAATTGAATGATTCACAATTAAGAATAAATTTGATACAAAAAGAAGACAAACATAAACTAATGCACGTAGATGTCCACACGGATTAACATCAATAAGACCAAATATAGTTAATATAAGGACGGGTAATTGACATATTATGTTAAAAAAACATATAATTAAAACCATTTTCGTTATTTTAGATTTCGATTTTAAACGTTGAGCAATTATTTCTGAATGTAAGATAAATTCTTGGGATTTTTTTTTACCAATTTCACGATTAACACAACGTATAAGTGATATCCAGAGAAAAACACATATTACCCATGGACATAATAATGATAATATAGCTGATACGACTTTTATTACAGTTTGAGCATCTAAATTTTGATGATAATAATAATATGGTATGATTGATAACACACTAAATAAAAATATTATTATTAAAGCTTTTCTTTCATTACGACTGGAACAATAAACTTGTGAATAAAGTGGTTTCACAACAATCATTAAACGAAAACAAGTTATTGTTACAACTAAAACAAAATAATTCATAAAAGAAAAAACACATAAGAATTTGTATAAAAAAAAATATAATAAATTTTTATTTTACCGATCCAATTCGAACAAAATGTAGCACCAGTTGCTACAGGTAAAACAAACGAATTTACAAAACTTATTAGTTTGCCGTTATGTTTTGGACCATAATAATATATGATATGTGGAATACAAGCAACAGTTGGAGCAACAATATCACTTATAGCAAGACCTTGTAATAAATTATTTACTCCTCCTTTTCGCATTAAACGACGATTTAAGACTATTAGTGTAAGAATATTTCCTATTAATATAATGAGATTCATAGAAAATTGTCATATAATATTTATTTGAACTTACCAATATTTCCAAAAAACATTAGAATCAATTGTATAACACCCCACATAAATCTACCGGATAGGCCTTCTAGTAATTCACCAACCAATTGATCTAAAATGTATTTTTTTTAATTTATCTTTCAATGGAGATTTTCTTTCTTTACCGGCACATATTGTTGTATTGTCCGATGTTAATAATGCTTGATCTGTTGTTGAAAACGATTGCAATGGCATCTGTGATGTTGACTGAGTATCAGCATACATTACTGTTTGTTACTATTGAAAATAAAAATATATTCAGTTTATCTTTTTTTTTATTTATATTGAACTATTTAAAAATGTGATGGAATTTAAGCAAAAGATGCACAAGTACTTATCTATAATATTTAAAGCACTCGTCTGCATTCACAATATAAATATCGTGAGACTTGCATAATCTGTCGTAAAAGAACTATAAAATTGTAATTGTTTTGTTCATCAACTCAATTATTAAATTTTCAGAACACGCAGAAAATATTCTTGTCTATGTATCTTGTTTCTGTTTATTATCTGATGCTCTCAATGTGTGAGGTCTTACAAAACATAGTTAATTTCATTTCCTTTTTCTGATAATTTTTTAATATTAGAGGAATTTTTCAAAAACGAAAAGGTTTTTCTTAATAATTTTATTACTATTTAATAAAATCTAGCTTTCTGCTATATATATGTCAATATTCTGATTACAAAAAAGAAGACAAAAAAAACCTTAAGAATTAATGAATAAAACAAAATGAATGTTTATAAAATATTCTCTTACTTATTTCAAATGTTGTTTTGCTGAAAACTAAAGAGCAGGAAACTTCGATTTTCCGAAAACTTCTTCTTAATCACTCTTTTAATGATTATGTGCATACCAAAAAAGGAAATTTTTTACTTCTCTAGGTTTCTCTCATCATTTTCTAGTTGAGTTCGTTTTAGAATATTAATCTTTTTATCAAGAATTCCATTAAAAAAAGAATCCTTGCTTATCAAACTAATATAAACTTCAGATAAAAATTACTCAACATATTTCTTGTTTTAAAATATTAAATTTTTTTGTCAAGTTATATTATTTTCAGAATGAATGAAAAATTTAGCATCTATTTATTTATTTTTTTGTCAATTCTAAAGGTTTCACATGAGAGAAGAGATATTCTTACCTAGGCTCTTTGCAAGACTTTTCTCAAACAATCATACTAATGACAATCAAAAGACGAAGCTAACTGAAAAGGAAGAAAAACAACGCAGAGAGGAAAAGAAGAAAATGTCTCATCATGCCATTTCCCTCTTCCTTCAACAAATTTATATTGTGTAGCTCTTCATAATACAACAATAGACTGAATTTTTTTATTTGTTGCGATAATAGATAACTCAAAATCTTCTAAGAAAAGAATCTACATATCTAATTTAGATTCTTAAAGATATCTTAACATGCATTTTTGCGATCAAGCGATAGTTTTAGTACGACAAACAAATATTGAAAACTGAAAGTAAGACTACTCTTGGGATGAATACCATCAAATCTTTGATACATTCTACTGAATTTAGTTTAAATAATTCATACGAGGATCTTAGGAAAAAAAGGACTCATATGTGACATATGTTTAAGAAATGACAATAGTATAAGAAATTGCAAACATGAATGAATTAGTAGTTTTTCAGAAAACAATAAAATATAGAAAATGAATGATGATAATTAATTAATCAAAAATGATAGATGTAAAAACATGTATGGAAAACTTTTAAAACCAACATTAAAAGTATCTTTGTTTCAATCAATAAAAAAAAAAGTGCTAAATATTCCATTCACTACATGATAAAAGAGAAAAAAAGGGTTTTCTTTTGTCTTTGTCAAGATATTTCATTGAATAAATTGTGGCTATAATAATCCAATGAAACTCAAATAGTAACAACAAATCTTTTAAATATAAAAAAAAACTATGTTCTACAAGTATTTCTTTTCTTTTTACGAAACATCTTTAGATTAGAAAATAAATATTCGTGTTAACTTTGTATTCAAAAATACATGTTAGTTTTTTCCTTTGTTTTAAATTTAAAAGAAATATTTGACAGCTTTTATTTCGATGATTTTATGGATAAATAGACTAACTGGTGCATTATTGAACTATAAGTATGTGTAAAGAAGAAAAAATAGAAATGTAAACACGATTGAGATTAGTATAGTTTTATAGAATAAGCTTGACAAATCTCTTGAGATTTCTTTTTTTAATAAAAATACTCGGATTTTGATGCATCATTTAATTGCTTAGTTGTGTTTATTCATTATGAACTCATTCACTTGATTATAATAATAGCATCAGAAGATATAGCATGACAGCTTTTAGTTGAAAGGAAAAAAAATAACTGAAAGATAGGAACAGATGACATAAGTGCTCAATAATCTTCTTCACTTGTTCAAAGTCAAACAATAGTGTATTTGTTTGGGGCAAAGTGCGAAATATATGTGTATTCATATATATGTATATGCCCTCAGAACATGTAAACTATCAAAATATTGTCATAAACTAAAAGCATCAAATAAATAAAAATAATTGGTTCGACTTGCGGCACTATTTCATCATTTCTTTTTGTAATGATAGCAGGATGATCGAGCGTTACTCTCTCAAGTTGACAAGTTCATATACATATATATATATATAACGATGGCAATATTACTTTATTAAGAACCTACAATTTGATGTCAGAGTTTTATTAAGTGTCCTAGATGAACTATATAAATATCTTCAACGTTTTACTGTCGAATAGGTCTACTATCCAAATATTGCTGTACATTGTTTTTTTTATATTAAAAATCATCAAGTCAATATGATCTTTAATCAAGTGTTGCAAAAAACATATAATTCTATATTCAGCTATCTTTTTTTATGATCATTGGTAACGCATAATCATCTCAGCTAAGATATATTCTAACCTAAAACAGACTTCAATAAATACTACTAACCTTAACAACTATATATAATTACTTAGTGTATATTATTTACTTACAAATTAATTATGAGTTCACAAACTGATGATGACTTTTGGAATTATTTTAAAATTCTTCTGTGTGGATTCTTTTTCTTTTTCTACAAATTACTAAGTAGATTATGAAAATCTGTCCTTTGTATGTTTATGCGTATTTTCATTTTGATTTCTTATAGTTGAAAGCAAACAATATTGTTAAGTGAACGGCTTCCTGTTTGCGTTTTTATTGTATTTTTATCTTTGCACGCATCAGGTCAAGCAGTAAATATGATAATCGATTGGCAGTGTAGGAGGTTTTCTTAGTATTGAAATAATTTGCAAACCTATAGATGATGTTAAAAATCTAGATTAAATAAGTTAATTAATTCTTTTTTAATTTAACTTCATTGTCATCTAATTTAGTTTCAATAATAAAATATAACTTTAATTAACTCAATTTTTTATGAGAAACGTATTTATAAGTAACTATTTGAAGAGTTCGGTACCATCAATCATATCGCTAAATATAAAGTGACATTTTGACATTGTTTGTTCTGCCTGTAATCATTGTTTGACAAGAAAAATTTTCTACGTACTATAGATGTCTATGATTCGGCCTTCGATATGCTTACAATTAATCATAAAGAAATTAATATCTCCAGTGTCAACAATTATATACATATTCATCTATTATGGTAATTTCATTAAGGTTAAATGCTTGCTAGTAAAACAAGACTGTTTCTTTTACTGATGAAAGAATTATACAGAGTGGCTTTTGAGAGATTTAATCAAAGTAATCCTCTAGATACTATAAATACTGTGGAAAAAATTATTTTCGTAATAATATTAAAATACTTATCATTGACACGATACAAGTAAAACAAAAAGAATAAAAATAACTAATGCAACGCAGAAAATGTAACAATGATGCATTTTAAAATAAACTTCAGAAAATAAATACTAATTATCTTCAGTTATAAGTATTAAAAAACAAAAGAAAAAGTTTTCTTTGTGAGCTTCTTTGTTTAAAATGCATCGTTATTTTTTCACAACTGAATAAAATAGAATATGTATAGAACAATTATATATAAGAAATATATATGTTTACTAAGAAAAATACGCAAAGTATGATGACAGTTCGATTATTTTCTATTTTCTATTAATTAAGTTTAATGAAAATAGATAGTCTATTTACTTGTGATTCTTTTTTGATTTTGTTTTTGTTTGTTTCTAATAAAAAAAAATATATATATACACCATCTAAATAAATTTTTTGACATATAAATATTTTTATTAAATTTCTGTTGAAATCAATAATAAATATCTCACCTGATGGCTTTTTTAATAATAATACGAGAAAAAATTTAATAAAAAAAAAGTTACAATTGGCGTCTATACCAAGCAAAAAAGAGAACAACTCTTATGTTACATATGTATTCATCTATATGATGGAGTAATTTGACATTTCAACAAGTAATTACTACAAAAAAATATGGAAATCTGTTCTTATTGTTTACTATAGGAATAGAAAATATTGTTTTTTTAGGTCATAGAAATCCGGAATAGAATACATACTTATGTCTGTTCTTAATAACTAGATTACTTGTAGGAACCTAATTATTTATTTAATAAATTATTTTTATATTATGAAATGAATGAAACAAGAGAAAATAATAATCATTATCTGAAAAGTCTTCTTACATATTTAATCTTTCAAATAATTTAATGTCAAAAATGGATATTTATTATCAAATGAGACATTTTTTCATTATGTAGAAAGTTTATGAGCTCTCTTGAAAATACTATTGTGTCACATCTCAAGTAGAAGAATACATAAGGATATTTTCTTTTTGAATATCCTGTTCTTTTTCGTTTATTCTAATAAGGATACCCATATGCACGAATCTAGTTTCTTTATATGACAAGTTAATGAACTTCAATAGAAAAAAAAAACAGACAAATAATCTATATATGCGATTGTATTAACATGATTTTTGTGTGAACTTTTTCGCTTATCTTCTGAAATGGATTGAGAGACTTACATATGAATTTTATTACGAAAAAAAAAACTCTCACTGCGCTTACTTTGTCTTTAAGAGAAGATCTTCAATCTTCAGTAATTTATTAGAGCATGTCATTAAGAAATTATTAAAATGATGCAATGCTTTTTATATTAAAGAGAAGAAAGCAAAAAAAAATTAGAGAATTTAAGATGAAAGAGTAACAATTTTCAGAGAAAAATATTTTAATAAATCTTGCATAAGATGTTTTTTTTTTGAATCTACACTGTACTCCAAAATTAAAGAAGCCATTCGATTAGGTTTCAAAATGTGAATGCTTTTTTTCTAAGAGTTTTGAATACTAATGTGCTATTGCTATGCATATATATAATTATTCACACCAAAATTAGTGTCTTTATTTCATTTCTACATTTGTTGTCATCTCAAAAAAGAACCCTAGGAAACGCCTGTCCATAATTATAGGATAGTGTTATCAAAAGGAAATCTTTCATTTCTATGAAATATGTTCGATCTTTCTTTTTTATGGTTGATTAGAGTTTGACATGCAACGTACCTTGTTAATTCTTTCAGGAATTCAATGGAGTTTGGTTTATTTAAAGCTTTGAATTTATGGAATAAAGTTCAGAACATTTGTATTGTTACTGCCATATTCTATTAAAATATTTCAAAAAAAAAAGATAAATTATTAACAATCAAGATTCATTTTAAATTAAGAAAATCGATGATGAATATTATAATAACTACATAAAAAGTCAAAATGAAGGCGTAAAGAACTTTCTTTCATAAATATTACTGAACTCTTGTAACTTTCGAGGAATGTTGAAGAAAATTTTGAATTCTTAATATAGAGTTAATATGCAAAGCGAAACTGATAGTATCGATAGAAAGAGAACATGACATTGCACTTAATAGCTATAAAGATTATCATAGATGATGGTTTTCCGAAAAATTCAATTACATACTATTCAATTGATGATCTCAATACTATGATAAATTCATCTTCGTATGGAGAATGCCACCGAAATTATGTTGAGTGCTATAAAATTGAAGTGGTGTGTCTAGCATATTAGTGCATTCGACCCGAACTAATTGGCTCTAAGTGCAATATGTATTGAGCTTTCTCTGTTGAACTTCGGGTGTTATGTATTTCAAGTACGATTCTAGCATTGTTTTGAAAATCCATAAATGACATACTACATTATTAAATTTGTGGAAAACCATAATATATGGTAGTTTTAATATTAACTAAATGCAACTTGCTGTTCTCTTTCTATCAACACTATTAATTTCACGTTACACATGAATATTACATTTGTAATTCAAAATTTTCTTAAATACTCCTTTAAAAAGTACAACAATTTAGTAATATTTATCACAGAAAGTTTTTTTTACAAGTTCATTTTGATATTTCAGACAAAGAATGATTTAGGTAAGTTGAATTTAGAATAATAATAATCATCTGTAAGAGTGAAAGATTGGGCACACTTTAAAGGAATGAAAATATTTTTTTATCAAAAATCAGGTACGTTTGTACAAAATTTTTTACTAATGACTAATATTTCCTCTTTGTAGAAAGCTTCTTAAAAAAAAAAGAAAGTTTTAACCTTTAAAAATTAAACTATGGACAACCTTTCCAGGTGTTGAAGTTTTACTGCTGATAGACAGAAAAGAATGGATATTCATTATGTTGCATCTGTTAACGTTCTGCGCAATGACATCCTATAATTATTGCATAGATATCTTCCATTTTCTTTTCTCTACAAATAAAAAGAAACGTAGGAGTGCAATAAAGACATTTATTAATGTGTCAATATTTGCATATATACGTAATAATAGTGCATGAGTATTATGAGCTCTTAGAAGATAATGATGCGCGTTTTTCTATTTATGTGTGAATATCTTCTAATTCCACGAAGAAAAACAGAAATAGTTCTGTTGCTCTGATGTTTTATTGATTATTTAGTATAAGAAATGAAAGAAGCTTTGAAGATTTTATTTGATTTATTAACACTTACTTTTCATGAATTTATAGAACTATAGAATTATAGTAGCTCACGAAAGTCTTGACGACATTGACTGTTAAAAATAATAGTGACTAGAATAAACGCTTTTGGGAAATAAACTTCTTTTTATAAGTTCTTTTTTAATGGAACGCATGCAATTGGAACACTGTGCACGATATTTTGGGAAATTCAAGATACTCATGAGACATACAATGTTCGATAACTTTCAAAATTTCGATAAAATATAGCGATATTAAGATATATTAGTTTGCAAATCTAACAAATATAAAAGGATGTTTGAGATATTATTTTTACTAATAAATCATTGTATGATACTTTTATTGAAATAATAAATAAATAGTAAATAAAAGAATGAGTATTAACTTACGATTAATTTTTTGAGGAACAAAGTTTATATCTGTGTATATTTATGTCATTATCTTTTATTCTACTAACTACAATGATTAATGTCTCTGCATAGCACAAGAGTCTTTTATTATACGATATACTTATGCTAAGTAATTTAAGGTATTATAATTATATAAGAGTTTGAATCAAAATAAATTATAAGTGATTCATGTTACAAGCTTTTATTTATAATACCATACTGACCTTGTTATGCTAGTTTTTCTTTTGTTTTCTGGAAAAGTTTGAATGTCAAAAAAATCTAATCATTACTCGTATAATCCAATAGAAAAAAAGAACCGTACTTGACAAAATTATAATATGATAACATATATTATTTTTGAAATGCTTAGAATAATTTTTCAACTACAAAATATAATAGTAATAAGATTCTAACATATTCTTTGTCACGAATAATAAGTTCAAACATAGTTACTATAACTATGTTTCTGTAGAAAAGTGTCAAAGGAAAAGAATGATTAAATATTAAACATTTTCTCATGAGATCAATAAATATTCTTTGAAAAAGAAAATAACACTTGATTAATATTATTGGTACAAGACCACTATGATCTTAACGGCAATTCTTTCTTTTGATAATATTATATTAAAGCGCAAAAGTTCTTCACTAGCTTTTTTAAGACCATATTATTTATGATTATGCGCAACTACAAAATTTTCCAGCACAACAATCAAATAGATCGAAAAAATCATTCTTTTCAATATAAACCTCTCAATAATATTCGAAAATCATTTAAAAAATAACAAAAGATAATCAAGCCATTGTCGTGTCTAAGATATTGATGACGAATAGAAGCAGATCACCGAACGAAGAACAGAGCAATCAGACGCAGAAAACGGTTTCAAAGCTCATCCGAAACAGTACGAGTTAGTATTTACTTGGCTGTGCTGTCAAGAGTGTTGGAAGTTTTCCAAAGTGGTGACCGTTCTTTTGACACAGTCCTCATAAGTTCATGAGTAGGTTGATTTTCTTCATAATTATTCTATGTTTTTATTCAAGCTCTAATAAGAGTGAAGTATTCACTCGATGTCTTTACAGCTTATTCCATGCAGTTCTTGTCGTGTGTTTTTATTCATTCATTTTGTATTATCAATCACGTACATATTTTTGTAATCAAACACAAATTATATATTCTTATCGTAATAATATTAATTGATTATGTTTCTTTATTTCTTTTTTTTATTTATATACAAATGATCGACACATTCATTTACTATTGTGTCGAATACAAATGAAAACGGAATAAAACAAGTATACACACATACATTTTGTAAGCAGGGAAAAATAAAAGAGAAAAGAAACTGACGTGCTAAGCTAAAGAAGTAACGAGCAAATTTACAATTCTGTTTTTTTTTGCTCCTTTTTTCTTATCTTTGTCGCACCTGAAGCAATAATGGAGAAAAAAAAAGAACTGTTTCGAAATGATTTACATTCAATAACAACACTTGAAATTTATACATCTACATATATAAATTAAAAACACAATGCACAGTACTCGAGTTTAGATGAATGACAGTTGGCTGCCATCACAAACTCAAATATTTTTTTTTTAAAATTTAATCAAAACCTAGAGAAAAGAATAAACTTGTTTATGGTCAAATTTCCATTACTATGACAACATCGAAATGTTAAAATTTTATAATGAAAATTCAACAATCATGGGTAATGGTCCAAATAGTGGCGAAAAGAAAACAGATGAAGAACAATATGAAGATGCCATTTTAAAAAAAACTTTCCAATTAGGAGAATTAAGTCGAACAGAAAGTACTGAAGGTTTAATATTTTTTGCTGGTACTGATAAAGCTCGTGTGTAAGAGAAATATTTCAACTTTTTTTTTTTATCTTAAAAACTTTCTTATTCTTTTTCAATAAAGAATTACTGAAATACTTGAAGAACGTGGTTGGTCTAGAACAAAGGATCATAATGTAACTAATTTTACTATAAAATGGTGTCTAGCACATCAAGTTGATTGGAATCGATTTCAAGAAGGAAAGCAACTAATTAATAATATACCTGGTCAATTAGCATTTGCTGACAAAATCAATTTATGGTATACAATAAGAGATTATTTATGTCATAGACGTACTTTAGATGGAAATCATATCCAAACTTTCCTTCCAATGACTTTTGTTCTTGATGATGAAAGCGAAGTGGCAGAATTTTTACGTTCTTTTAAAAGTAGGTGTTTCTTTATAAAATAATCAAATAGACATCGAGCGTAGCTTTTTTTTATGCAACTAATTTTGTTAACAAATTCACCCCCTATTTAATATATTAAGTAGAAAAAAACTTTAGAGTATGTTCTACTTTCATTCTATGTACTTTTAGCATGGGTTTCATGTTTATTTTTGTGTTTGATTGTTTTATGTTCAAGAGACACTAATCAAATAATGTTTATTAAACGTTCGTTATTCCCTTGTTTTATGATAGTTTGATCGAATATAAAAAATTCTATCTAAAAATTTGAAAATTTCCATAAACATGAAAAAAAAAAATATACAGAAATAATTCTTTTTTTCTCTTTTATTTCTTTTTTCATTAAAAATTTTTTATCAAAACACACTCTAGAAACTTAACGTGTCAAAGATTACCTTGATTTCATCTACTTTAACCTTTTTAAACTCTGTTGTATGAACTAAAAACTGCGAAAATTGACAAATCATATGCTTCAATATAATATATAAGGAAATGAATTAGATATATCCCAGATCTAGTCGGAATGATGGCTCATTCGACAAGTCACTCGTTTGCCTGGTATTCAGCCGAAGTAGTATTCAGACAAGAGGGTAACTAGTTGGATCAAAACTGTTACATATCTAAAACGAATGAATCGAACATTTTCTGATATGAAAATCAATTAATCTATTCCCTGATATTTAAGATTATTATCTGATTCAATCTTATATTTCTATTTTATTAATATTCTAGAACAAAATCGAACATGGATATGTAAACCACGTTATAATTATGCCGGACGAGGAATCTATGTTATATCAGTAAATAGTGATTTAAATACAATATTCAAGTTTAAACTTGGTAATAGTAATCGTCTTCAACTTCACCCAAGATTACCTGGTTATTTAATGCAAGAGTAGCGTATGAATAAATAATAAAACATGATCTAGTTTTGTTTGTAATTATAATTGATATAGATACATATCACGACCATTACTTATCAAAGGTCGAAAATTCGACATACGTGTACATTGGCTTGTCGCATGGACAAAACCTTTACTTGTTTTTTATAATCATAATGCATCTGTTGTACGTTTATCCCTTAATCTTTATCGAGAATTCGATTTCGATCGTGCAACACATTTAACAAATTTGGTAAAAATTTATTTTTAAATATTCTATTTTACTTGTATTAGATACTGTTGTTTTTGTTAATTGTAGTCTGTGCAAGAAAATCATTATCGTTACGCTTTTTCACAAGAAGCAACTGGAATGACAATGAGTCAATTAAAGTAAAAACTTATGTTCATCAGAAACTAAGCACAAAAACCTATATATTTTTAGTCATTATTTTAACCGTTGTTTTCGACCATTTCATCCGAAAATGTGTCAAGATTGGGTGATGACTGTTATGCAAGTAAGTCAATATTTTAGATAAACTTGTTCAATATTCTTTCATATGTATTGAAAAAAAAAGGTCAAGTTTTTGACATATAAGAAAAGATATTGCAGAAAAACTCACTTACCTTTTATATATATATAACTTCTTAAATGTATTGTATATCATGTCTACAAAAAAAACAGATATATCTTTTATCTAAAAAAATGTTTTAAACATTTTCTAAGATCAAGCTGGTAGACATTTGATCTTATGGCACTTTAACTCTGGGTTAAATCAAAAGGAAAACATAAAGACCGTGATAATTAAGAAAAGAAACATATCAATTATTAAACGGATTTTAAAATGTTTCGTTAAAAAGCTACTACTTTTGATAGTTATCACGCGATGCTCTTGAATAAAGCAAAAAAATGAAAGAAGAAACTCTTGCATGGAAACTTTCAGCGGTATTATCTGCAACAGTGTTTTTTCAGAGAAAAAGAAACAAAAAAAAATCAGTTAAGAAAAACATAAAGCGTAGTTGCTAATTGAAACATGATCATTAGACTCCACAAATTGAAAGAATGAATAAGAATATTCACTCGTGAAATTCATTAATCGGTTTCTAGTTCGTTTACCTGGTCCAGGACATTTAAAAGTAGGATAAGACAGGGGGAGAAAAAGCTCATTTACAAACGAAGAAATATTGAAAGCTATGATTTTACTTTTTAATTCATCTTTTAATTATAGAAAGACTTGAATGAAACTACAAAAAATATACAATAATAAGAATGTATAGGTCTTCATTCTTCAGGGTATGGTTGCTTTACTAAGATTAAAATGTCCAATTTTAGTGGAATAATGACTTGAAGACTGTTGAAACATATAGAAAGCTCTAAATAGAACATTATTAGCTCCTTTATGAAACAGAATTCTTAAAGAATATTTATTTTATCGTTATGAACAAACATTGAGTCTCTCACCTTCCTTTTTCAAGTACCGTCAAACATTTTGCATTTCTTGTGATAGGAATAAGCTTCTAAATAAATATTATTTGATCGACTTCATGAATATCATTAAATATTATAACTGACATCTGCTTATTGTGCAAAACACATTTAACATGTATAGGAACTCATAGACCAAATGTCATACTGTTAATACTTTGCTATTTGTAATCAAAATAGCTTCGTTGTGCTTCATATTTAAATTTTGCAAGGTTTCAGTTGATAGCTTGTCAAAATATAATATTTACGATAAAACCTTTACAGTTCATAGACATCTAAAAAAAGAAATCGATTTAATTCACTATTAAAACACCTCGACGAATGAGATTTTATTTTACCTAAAAGCTTTAAAATATTACAAAAACTATCAAATAGTGTTTTGCATCAGTATGACTTTTCATCACCGGACACTGACTGATACTTTTTTTAAACATTTGAAACGGAGTTAATCAATACCAAGCAGATATTTTCAAAGCCAAAGTACGGTTTTTAGACTTCTATTTTATATGAGAAGCATACTATTTTGTTTCTCCTATATACAACAAAAAAGAAAACGAGATCGTCTCAAATTCCACAGAAAAACAAGTGATTCAAGATTCACTTGGTGTCTTTCTGCTTCTAAAATCGTATGAATTTTGCTAAGTAAACATTTGTTGGTTGCCAATGCTGTCATTGAAATGAAAGGCAGTATTGTTGCTCAATGTCATCATTGTGGATACATATATGAATGCTTGTTCTATAACCCATGTTCACTTTTCTGATAATGCGTTTTCCTCTCCATGTATTCAGTTATTTTGTCATATAGCTCATCATTATCTATAGATGTATTCTCATCAAAAGCGAAGTCTTTTAGTAAAACAATATCTCTTTTCACCTCTGTGAATCTGTTCTTAAGTATAATAAATTTGCTCAGGTTTTAACTCCTACGCTTTTACATAAATTATCGGTTTGAAAAAGCTAAAATATTTTAAAATATCAAGATCTCATGAATTTTCAGCCAGGGTTTGGATATAAGATCATAATCTGAACCAGAATGGTCTCGACGAATTTCTATTCAGATCTATATTTTAGATCATGCCGGATACACGCACTGGTTGCAAGACACTACGATCAAAGTAATATTGTAAATCAAGTTAAAAAAATCTGAACCATGTCTTTAATGCTATCTTAAAAATAGTACTCTGTATTGGTCATGATTCAGATGAAATCACTATATTTTTGAAAAACAGAACCATGAATCTCTTTTAATGTAGTTTACGTATAGATAAAAATTGAAGTCATGAAAGTAGAAAATTTTTTTTCTTAAGTATGGTTGATAGGATTTGTTCTCGAAGTCTGTAATAATTGTCAGTTACTCGTAAGACTCAAGTTTGCAGGAATTTTAACATCAAATTTATTTAACATTTACTTTTTTTTCAATTTCTTATAGAAACTATAGAAAGTAATAAAATATATAAGTAATCTACGTTTTAAAATAGGAACGTATGCAAACAATAATTCGTCATGTAGTACGTGCAAGTAAAGATAAATTAGCTCGTGAAGCTGGACAATTTGGTTTTTTTGGTTGTGATTTTTTACTTGATGAAAATTTTCGTATATGGCTATTAGAAATAAATGATAATCCTGGTGTTGGGTAAGTTCATATTTATTAAAATATAATTCATTTATTTATTTTTTTCTTATCTATAAAATTATTATTTAAAGATGGGGCAATCCTCGATTGAATACAACAACAAAACCTTTATTCGAAGAAACTCTTAATATTGTTTTTGAATGTTTTGAAAAATATAAAAATAATCAATCATTATTACCAATAGAATGTTTAAAAGACTATCAACTTATATATAATGAAGATGATGATAGTGATAGACTTTTACGTGATGATAATCAATTATTTACGGATCGTCTATCAATTCGATATGTCACCAAAGAAGTTTCATCACGAACATATTTTCATCGAATATTACCAAATGCTCATACAAATCGAACATCAACAAATAAAAATGATAACGATATTAATATTAATAGTCACATGATCCTTCCATTAAGGAATATAAAAGATTCTAGTTCGTCTATAGATGATATAATACCTTTTCATTCATCAAATATTAATGATACACCTAAAAATTCTTCAACCATCAGTACAACACCTGTAAATTTAAACATAATAAATAAAACTGATGATACAAATGAAACAATTGAACCATTAAAACATGATGATGATATTGTATTAGAACGTTTAATGAAATCAAAAAAACCAGATATAACTAATTTAAAAATAAAACCTTCATTATCAACATCAACATCAATGAATCGAACACCTATTAAAATAAATAAAACAAATGTTAAACGAAATCTTTTAACAACGAATTCATTTACTATACAACGAAAAAAACGTCTTGATTTAACACCAATTATTGTAGATAAAAAACGATATATACATCGAAATGGTATTTTACCTATTTCTACTGAAACAACTAGACAAGAAGATAAAATATGCAAAAATCAAATTATTCTTCATGAACAAGAACAAAATGAAATATCGAAGAATCAAATTATCCTTCAAGAACATGAACACGATGAAATTGAAAAACAAGATAATCAATCAGTTATTATATCCATTACAAATATTGTTCCACTAAAACTTTGTTCTTCGAATTAATTAAACTTTATTTTTCTTAATGAATTTTTTTTTGTATTCATAAAAAAAGACTTTTTATTTGATGATGAATGAACAAAAAAAAACCGTCTTTCTCCCCTTAATCAATAACTAATGATGTTAATAATAGATCCGTAAGATGACATTCATTTTGACATAATTGAAAATTTTCTAATTTTAATAATCGATATGATTCTGATTTTGATGTTGGAGCAATTTTACGCATTATTGTTGGAACTTGTTTTAATATATTTATATACGATGTTAATTCGGTTTGAATACGATTGAGAATTTTAGTATTTTGTTCTTGATATGATGAATTTATTGAATTAGTCAATGAAAATGATTGAAAATCAAGTTTAGATAAAATATATTTTGCAATCATCATAGCTTCAGAAGAATTTCTAAAGATAAAAACATTATATTTTGATTTCTTTTTTCATATGCATATACATACAAAGAAAAAGTTGAGTAAAGCGCATTAAATGAGACAAAGAAAGAAAAATTTAGATAAAAATGTCTCATAAAATATTTCAAAATATAATTATAATCGCTTGAAAAGATTTATCGTAGTAAGAAAAAATATGGAAAAAAAGTTATGTCTGCAGACTGAGTACGGATATGAGTGTCGAGGAACAGAAGACTAGAACTTACAACCCTTATACCAAACATAGAGAATGTTTTGTCAGTTGAAATTTTCGATATTTTTTCTTTTGACCTTGTGTACAGTACATCATTTGAAAATTCTTATTATGAAACATATTTGAACTGTGAATTCATGGGATAAAACCAGTTTTTTAACATTCTTCTGTCTCGACTTAGACTATCACAATAATTTATTTGAAAATATTCTAAAGATATAAAAAAGCACCGATAAATCCAAATAGCAAAAAGCTCGAAAACATTTGGCTATGAGCATTGATCAATATAGATCATTTCCGTCCAAACTATAATTTATTCAATCGGAATAAAATAGTATTATTTTAAACACTTTCGTAGACAAAAATCTGCTAGAGTTAATGTAAATCGTACGTATGGAAATGAAGATAGGAAATTAACTCGTTTTATATAAATCTCTAAATCATTTGATCATATTCACAAGATAACAGGACTACATTCTCGGTAGTTTCGACTAATGGCTACTTCTTAATTGTGGACAAAATTTCAGCCCTCACCCACACTGTCGGCATGCTAATTGGTTTGATTTTCGTCCGCAATCAAGAAGACACGGTCGTAGCGTACTCATCCAAAAAGATTTATTTCATTAGAGCCATACAAAAAAGTTCATGTTTCCGGAAATTTTCTCGATTGTAACAAAATATTTTCATTTATGGTTGTATCTAAAACAACCGACCTCAAAATGGTGAAATTTGATTTTTTCAAGTTTCTACTTGGAACGAGTTATTACTAAAATATCAAGATAATGTACTCAGCGACGGACTATATCTCAGCTTTTTATAATACAACTAGTATTTTCATTTTGTTAAAATAATACTCTAGTGTTTGAAATGTGATAAAAGATAGTAGAACCTTTTTTCCTTCCTGTTGACACAACAAATGCTTGGTTTTGATCAGCGATCACCATTGACTTTCGTTACTACTCAAAATAAATGACATCTATTGGCATAGAATATATGACAACGTTGACAAAAGATTTCGAATGAATAAATTCGATCGTGTTGTATTCGAGAAGTCTTCCATAGACGACAAAACGTTTTTGAGTTCTAAGGTAAACTTAACATTTTTTATAAGATCCTCAGCTGAAAGTTAAAAATAAGATAAGACGAGTTTTTGAATATTACTTAAATGAAACTGTAACGTGTAACAGTATTGGAGATCCGAAAAAAAAACTCACAACTTATATTAAAAAAATATGCAAACGTTTATGTTCATCGAAACGCAACTTTTGAAAGATAATCTGATCTACTTTACTGGAAAAACTCTTAATGGCGAAGCAGAAGTATTTCACAAAACAAAGATGTTATATTGTGAGCTTCTTGACTGTTGAAAATATTTAATAGAAATGTAATTTCAGTCGCCGAAGACGAAGAAAAATTTTAGTAGATTATAGTTAATTTGGTACAGATTTTTCGTAGTTCTTCACTTATAATGAAGAATTCCTACTTCAATTCATTAGCAATGTATAGTTCAATATTTAATTGTATAAAACTCAATGTTTCTTCAGAAACGTTTCCGAAGTCTGGTTGATTGCGAAAAGGTAATTATTAGTAGCCAAAGATGACAAACAATATTGGTGTTTGTATAAAAAGTTCGACGTGCAGCTCCAATCATATTAATCTGATGGAAGGAGGAATGTATTTGAGTCTGCACTAGACTACCAAGCGTGAAAACATAGAATAATTTTTTCGTTTTCTCAGCCTTGCCGTTTCATTCCCTGTGAAAGGTTTTGCTCAAGTTTAACTATGCAAGATCCTTTTTGAATAAACTAGCTAACTTAGATCAAAAATGTATTTTATAATTTTTATTTCAGTCACTTACTCAGCATAGAAATGCACAATTAAGTCATCAACAATAAAATTATCTTCATTTACAAGATGAATAAGTACATGTTCAAAAATATTTCCTTTATTCACACGTATATAAACATTTGGCATATGAATAATAGGATTAAATCCAATTGTTGATAATAATTGCCTAAAATGTTCAATAAGTTGAAATTTTGTTGTTGTTGATTGAATATTTAAATCCAAACGAAACAATGTATTCACATAAATCAATGCTTGTCGATACATTAAATTATAGACTTAAATTAATAAAAAACAAACTATAATTTATTATCAAATTAAAAAATAAATCGAACAAACTTGATTCAGTTTCTAATGCATTCAATTTTAATATTCGTTCATTATTCGGATGAATAAGATCATCAATTAATATGTTGATAGAACCAACACGAAAAAGTTTATTATTATCATTAATCAATAAATAAAGTTCTATATCAATATCTTTATCTAATTCAATTAATGTTGTTAAAATAAATGTTATACATGAATTGGAATTTAAATTAAAGTTCGTTTGCTCATTTAATAATGATTGAAAAGCAGTTGTTAAATTAAATAATTTTATTTTATTAGAATTTTTATCAATACCAAATAGATATACTGGAGTTAAAATGTTACTAATTAACAAGAAAAAAGATAGTTTTATAAAAAAGAAAAAAATAGGGAGACGAAAAAATATAAACATTTTACTTCGTAGTATTTTTAATTGTTACATATAAAAATAAATTTGATCGATAGACAAACCAATTTGTTTCAATTAATTGAAGAACTGGCGTTGAAATGTTTGAAGTTTGAAGAAGACTTTCTGTTTGTGTCTAATATTTTTATTTGAAAGAACACAATGTAAGAGAATTAAATAAATTTATCTTACATTTAGACTAAGATCTGGAACATGATATTTATTAGTTATTTTTCGAATATCATTTTCGACTTGTCGACATTGAAAATAACCTTCATTGACAATAAAATCCGCATTCTAAAAATAATATTCTTTATAATACTAATCGAATAATGAACGATGCCAAAAATAATGCTATGAAAATGTTGATTTCTTTATTTTTTCAATATAACCAATTGGCTAAAAGTTTTTCAAGTTGTCAGAAATCGTTCTTCTCTGATATGTTTCAGACTTGTGATGAAACTTGCGCAAGAAGAGAAAGAAAGAACTACAAAATGATTCTGCACTGTTTTCATAAAGTAACAACATAATATGCTAATTTATGGTAGAGCCAGAAAATAGTTTTAGGAAGGATTTAGCCTTCGTTTGAAACTCAATAGCAAATCTTTTCTTCACCTATTAATAAGAGATTATCTGATTTCTAGAGAAAGTTTAAAGATTTCTGAAAGGCGCTGAACCCTCTCCAGATTCGACCACTTATGCTGATTCTTACATCTCTTTAATAAACATCTTCAGAAACATTAATTTTTATATTAATTAATAGAAATTTTATTTGTGTTTTTTTTGAACTATATATAATCTATTTTTGGCATATATGCATTAGTAAAATTATATGAGGAAAAAAAGACTACTCTTGCTTAGTAATTTGATGATTAGAATATGAATTCATGAAAAAAAAATGTTTTTATCAAATGACATTCAAATTATGATAAAAATTTATCTTTGAAAATATTTTTGACTAGTTTACCAAAATCAAATAAGATCTTATTTCACAAGTCCATATTGATTTTGCAATTTTATTGTGCAAATGTTTCTCCTTCCTCCTATGTGATTTTTTTTAATACTCGACGAGTAAAGTATAAGATGGAAAATAAATAGCACTACAATAACCTTCACTCGAATGAGCTGACTTTTTTCCTCAGTCGTTGAAGCTTATTTAAAGTTTTTTTTTCGTACGGATAATGTAACAAATACTACTGTTAAGTTATATGTTTAGCCTCACTAAAGTAATTCTACCTATTGTCATGTAAGAAAAGTTTATATGAAGTGTTTCATAAGTAAAGAGCAGGTTTTTAAAACTAGTAAGCTTAAATGTTGAAATTTGTGCCGAATGACATCTCTTTGGACACCAACTTCGTGACATAAAAGCAGTGTTCCATTGTTGAAAATGCAAAATTTTGTAATTTTTAACTTTTAAACTAACTAGATCTGAAAATTGTTTCCATGTGAACCAATATAATATCATTTATCAAGTTAATTTTGATTTCTTCTTCTTATTCATTCAGGTGATAACTAAAAAATCATCGATGAAATCCTTTATATGTATCTTTTTACTTGACAATAGGTAAAATTTATTTAGTGAGATCATATTTATAAATTAACAGTAATATTTACTTACGTTATGGGTATGAAAAGAAAACTTTAAATAATTTTCTACTAGTAACAAAAGAAATCAGCCCATTCAAGCAAATCAGAACAGAAATACTTCAATGTGTCATTATACTGCTATTTATAGTCCACTCTATTAAACCATACGTAGTCTTAAAGAAGAGAAAATTGGTATATAGAGTAATAAAAATCTTCCTTTCTAGAATGTATTCATCAATGAAATATAAAGATCGAAATTGAATACTATAACCAAGGAGAAACAAACTGATTTCTATGAAAGAAATCATTGAAGTTTACTCTAAACTATAGAAAATCTTCAGTACTAAACCAATAAGGAACCTCATGATTTCTAATGACTTTTATTAGGTTATTGATTTTTAATAATTGCCACTATTCCTGGTAGTTGTTTTTGATTTTTAACGATTTCTCGTGATTTTCCATTATTTCTAAGCATTTTCGATGATTTCTATAGATTCATGATGAACAAATGAAAACTGTTTTTCACTGATAGAAACTACTAGATATCAAAGAAATCAAGAAGTCAGTTTCCTTCACCCTTAGAAATAAATTTTTTTGTATATCGTATGTTAAATGTATTTTTTTTCTTACAATGATTTTCTTTCGAAGAATATCTTGAGCAAGAGCAAGACTAGTTTGAATATCAGCATCATCCATTTCAGTAGATAAAAGTTTTTCTTCAGCCTAAAAGACAAAAAAAAAAGAATAATTTATACCATTAGTTTGTTTTCATTGTTCTTTTATTATTTAAAATAATTTTACAGACATTATAGTCATAATTTGATCCTTGTTGAAAACTATGTATTTGTGAAAAATCAGTTAACATGAATGAATTTAGATTAAAATCACTTTTTAAAAATAATATTTGTTTCCATCCTATTTGATTAAAATCATCAATAAGAATATAATTAGCTGTTTCATTTGTATTTGTATATGGAGTTAATAAAAGCTTTTCATCATATTTAAATATTCCAACAGACTGAATATCTTTTTTCATAAAAAGAAATAGTCGTTCATTTTCGATTGTATCATATGATAGAATGGAAGTAACTAAATTATTCATTGAAAGTTCATGGCATATTGTACCATTACGACATGTAAAAATTCGATGATCTCTACCGGATATAATAAGATCACCCAAAATTAAACGAGTCTTTAATTGAAGCTTATGATTAATAACATATATGTCTTGAATATTATCAGCAAGAGATATGGGAATAAATTTATTAGTGCTAAATGTAACAAGTGGACTAGATAAACAAGTTGAACAGCCATAGTAGACCTAAACAAAAAAGTCACATGACGAACTTTTGTGAATCTTATGAATGTTGCATAGGTAGACGTCTCCGACATTGCTCTATCTAATCACGAAAGTTCAATTTCGATAGCTATGAACAATCGAAAGTTATTCCAAAAATGATGGTTGGCGTTTTAATAAGAACCCGACAATGAGCATGCATTCAAATCTAATAAAAGAATTTGAATCTCTCAAACTTATTTCATTGATCATGAACTATATCAATATACTGTATAGAACGATATCTACCTTTGAAAATCAAACAGAGAATGATTCAGTAAATCGTTTGGTTTAATAGCAAGGAAATTGAACAACAACTCAAGTATATACCCATTAGGTTTAGGTTTTTTGATAGACTCTAACACGTAGTTTAATAACGTCACTAATATCCTTCTTTTCAATATTCTCTAATATCATTTCCTTATTTCAATTACCTATTCGAGGACAAATGTTGTCTCAAGTGGTTCTGTAGATGAGGGCATTTTTCTTCATTTAGCCAATAACTGAGCCGAACAGTTTGTGTGCATGCTTAAAAGTAACAAATATGAGAAATATACTCCCATAGCAAAGACAAACCTTCCCAATGATAAATCAATCTACTGTTAAACTCAAATTCTTGTTAGTTGTTTTTTTTACAAATGTGATTGAGAATAAAATATAAATATAAATATCAAATACAAGGAATCTCGAACTTCTAAGAAGTTTTCTTCTCGTGTAATAAGTATTCCAACATTGAAAACAAATTATATTTCTGCGTTATTTATAATTTTACATTCAAATATTCAGCTTGAGATTCAATCAAGTATATCATCGAGTAGTGAACGATATTGCCATTTCCATCTTAATATCCATACAGTGAGCAATAATCATTAGAAGTATGATTATATAGAAATTAGTTGCTGAAAAAGAGAATAGAAGAGATAAGAGCTTGTAAACCATGTCATAGACGAAGCTTTACAAAGTTTTCTTACAGTCACTATCATAAGTTTTGCGTTGAAACAAAACATCGTTGAACGAACCAAGTCATTTATAATAATAAGAGGTATTACTTTTTTTATTTAAATTAGTTCATTTGATCGAAGATCTCAACTTTCGCTATTTAATATGATGTATTTTTAGCAAGATTTTTTCTTTCATCAGAATTTAGACACATGAATCATTTCCTGTTCACTTTTTTTTAATACTTGTCTATGAGGAAAGAAATCAAAAATAAACTTCACTTTAATTAATTTTCGTTGCATATTCATATCAATTTCAGTACCCATTAACCAATAATAATTATCATGTAAATAACAGTAAATATAAGTTAATAATGAACACTGAACAAATTCAATATTTCTTCGAAAATTTTCTTTATTATTATCAATTATATAAAATCCATTTTGATTTTTTGCTTCATTGATAAATATACTCAATAAGGAATTTATTGAAAGAAATTTCATTGAATCATGAATTGATGATGGTATTGATAATGTATAAAGTATATGGCATGACCATGGACGTGATTGAAATTGAAGAAACATTAAAATTGAACTATTCAATGTAATAAGATGTAAAAGAACAAGTAGACCTTTATCAATCAAGCATGAACCAGCAATAGTACATTTATTGAATTTCATTGTCATTGATGGTATTAATGGTTTTTCAATGACATTTATAAATCTTTCCATATTGTTATCATATCCGAATATATCGATTTGAATATAACCATTCTCATTTATTTGAAATTGATGTATACAACTAGCATATGCCAAACAATTCATTAATTCTCTTTTCTTTTCAAATAAAATTCCTAAAATGTGCATATTAATCAAAGAAGTTCTATTTATAAAACTGATAATGATATGTTTTTTGTTTTTTTTTAAACTTCATTGTATCTACACACACATACTTATCAAAACAAGTAAAAAAAACAACAAAACAGAAATATAATATACAAAAACAATAACAACAACAGTAAACATTAAGTTTCTATTAAGCCATTGCATCATCATTCTCATCAGTTTCTTCAATTCCTGATATGTAAAGAATATTATTACATCGAATAAGAATTTCACCTAATGGACCTTTGTTTTGTTCATCAATACACTCAACAGCATTACCTAATTGAACATTCATATATTGATCAACACTGACAAGAACACCTAAATTTAACACAAAAAAAAAATCTCGTTTTTTTATTTATCCTATTCATTCTTCTGTTCTACCGATATATGTAATTCCCCATTTGAGACGAACAAGAATTTTCTTTCCTACTAATTCATTAATAAATGGTCTTGGATTAAGTGGTGTTTTCATTTGTGTTGCTGTCGCTGCCATATTTGTCTTATTAATACGAAATAATCTGTAAAACAGGGGAAATTGTTTTCTTTATTGACGGTAAGGTGAAAAATATTTCACCCAAATATTTCTTTTTTTATTTAGTCTTCTTTTTTAAAAGATGTTACAAAAGATAAATATGATGTTTCATACAAAACAAAATGAAGAAACTGATGAATTATCATCGTCTATCTATTTATTTTATTCTTCTTCTTCACGTTTTTTGAACATATATGTAACACAACATTTGCCACAATAATTACGATCATGATGTGTTGCCATAAATACACCAGCGCCACATTGTTTTGATGGACATTCACGTCGTAAACGACGAATTTTGCCGGAATCTTCAACCTTAAAAATATATATGAAATTTCTTTTTTTCTTATTTTGAAAATTGAAAAATTATTCTATTTTACTTTATAATATTTAAGTACAGCCAATTTAACTTTCTTTCGTTTATGTTTATTTTTCTTTGGTGTACTATAGGATTTCTTCTTTCGTTTTTTACCACCACCTTCAAGGTCAAGTAAAACATAGAGTGTACTTTCCTCTTCAATACGACATTCATCGAGTGTTAATTCATCATCTAATGAAATGCCACCTAATGTTAAACGTTGTTCATCAGTCGGAATTCCTAAAAATCAATTGAATTTAATATTACAGATTATCCAACATAAGGACTAAGGGAACGATGCTTCTCCAGAAAATCAAATTAGTCTTCATGAAATTTTAAATCGCTCCTCCTCTTCACATTCAAACGAGAAATTTTGTAATTTACCTTCACGTTGTTCAACAATTTCTTTAACATCATTGATCGTGTCATCAGATTGAACATTGAGTGTTAATGTTCGATCATCCAGAGTTCTTACAAAGATCTGCATGATTTCTTGGTTACTTTTTTCCTTGGCCTTTCGAAATAGTTTCTATCTGAAATCAAAGTGATTTTAGTGAAAAATAAATATTCTAAGTGACTAAAATTTTCTGACTAAGAATATTTGGAAATGAGAGCAGAATTATATAAAACAAAAAAAAAAGAAAAAAGAAAGAATTTATTCTAATCTTGTTTGATTGCTGGTCTTGTTCGTTTTAATTCATTTTGTCGATAATTAGCATCAAGTTGACAAACAAAATCAATTAAACCATTTGCAAATGAATCCAAAATTGAATGAAAAATGCATACTAACAAAACATAAAATTTTATTTTAATATATGCGAAAATACAATAAGACCAAAATAGTATAAATAAAGACCATAATATAAATGCTAAACGACGTTGAAAACTTATATTTGACTCAATATGCTTATTATTAAAATATTTTGATTGCACATCAAATTGATTTTTAATATAGAATCTAATTAAGAACAAATAATTTTTAACAAAAATGAGAAATATTTTCTTTTTACTCTTTTAAACGATTTTCTTTTTCATTCCAACGATTTTGAAGCCATTGTCCAATTTCTTCATCTGTTTTAGGTAGATCATTTATATTATAACGTTTAACATGAAAATGAACTGCTTTTGGTATTTGACCTTTTAATAAATCAATTTCTGCTTCTGGAATAAGTCCTTCATAACCGATAGTAACATCATCAATTGTATCAAGAATTTCATCTGAATGAAAAAAATTAAATAAAACATAATTGATTTCTTTCGTTTATGATTTTTCTCTAACCTGATCGCATTGTATTTAGTAAAAAAGTGAATCCACTTATACGTGGATGAAGACAATAATCATAGAATTGATTAAAAGTTGTTTGTTTGGCTGCATAATCATTACTTTTTGTTTTAGTTTCATTTGTTAAATTTGTTCCTTCAGGAAAAATTAATAACTAAATTTAAATACAAATATTCGAAAGAATTTGAAAAAATATTTTCTTAAATTTAATGTAACATATCTTTGTTTTTAAATATGTAAATAAAAAGTGAAACTGTATAAATCATTTAGACTATCGGAAAACTCTACAATTTAATAGAAAACAGGAATAATAAAAGAGTTTTGTCATAGAGAGCACAGCCTGTTGGATTGATCTTAAACGCGGTCGAGTGCGGCTTCGAAAATGTTATGTTCGATAGACTCTATTAGTCATCGAATACAAAAAAAAACGAAAAATTTCTATCGTATCTTCGGAACTACTATCTAATTTCGATGAAAAAATTTCATTGTACAGCTCGAGAGAGTCCAAAAGTTTTGCACTCGACGGACTCTAACAGGCGTTAGTACATAGTTGTGCATTCAACTCATCAACATTTATCTCTACGAGACGATAATCAAGCTTCTGTTATCGTTCGTTCTTGAGATGAATAATAGTTGTTAGCCAGTACATTATTATATATGAATTTGTAGAAATTCGAAGAGTTCGATAACATATTAATTCATATCAATTAGTGTTATTTTCAACGTATATTTGATTTTCGAATAAAATTCTATTTCTCTAAAAGTATTTTTTCTAATTTTGTACATGTTTTCTTGAACAAAATCAATTATAAAAAAAAATTGATATTGCTAGATTAAACATATCATTTATTCTTTCTATTCGATGTATAGAAATAAAGCATAGAATGGCTTATATCTTTTTAAATATTCGAATAGAAAATTATTTTTCAATTACATACGGAAAGTGGTGATTGACATGATTTATAATATCCACTAAGGTTTTTTATTGTTTGTTGATCTTTTTCCCATATACGATCAAGAAATAGAAAACCAGCATGTTGCATAGCCCATCCTAGAAAAAATTCAAAACGTTTTGTTTATGTTAGAAAATATGAAACAAAATCTCACCAGGACCAGGAATACGTTTAAGGTCAGATTTAAGAACAATTTTAAGTTGTTTTAAAATTTTAAAACGACTATGTAACATCCAGATGAACATCCAATCAAGTCTTGTACGATGATTTAATATAATTAATGAATGTTTTCTATCTTTTGTCAAATCATCACCGGTAATAACAATTTTGATTCCAAGTAAATCTTCAAGAAGACACTAAAAATTTTTAATGAATGAAATTTACCGATAGAAAAACGTTGATAAAAATATAAAAACAACATACAGTAGCCATTAAAAGATAATAACCCATGGCTGCTGAACACCAACGAAAATAGAGACGTCGATTAAAAAATATAAGTGGTATAGCAGGTGTCTGAGCAAAAACAACACCAAAACAAGCACCAATAGCTAATATTAAATAATAAATCACTACTTTTATTGAATTAATTATAGATGACATTTTATTAAAAGTAAAATCTGTTTATCTATTCACCAAAAAGAATTCTATAATTTGTTTATAAAAATATTCATTTTCATTATAATCTATAGCTTTTTATTGACCAATCATACGAATTTTTACTATTAAATTTTTCCTTCTTCGAGAATATGTTTGAATAAGTTTTAGAATTATTTTAAATTTATTTTCATAGATTTTTATTATAATCATTAAAAACTCAAAAATTTTTAAAAAATTTCAAAAGTATTAATGCATTTATAAAAGACAAAAAAGGGGTATTATTCTTTTATACGATTCGTTTTTACAATAGACTAATCAAATGATTTTATTTCAAACAAGGTGTATATCAAGAAAAGCAAATGACACGTATTACTTCATAAATCTTCGTTTTGTTTGAAGTTTTAGTAATATGCGTGTTGTTCTTATTGTTCTATTTGCATTGATTTATCGAATTGATGGTCATGGTGAACATGGTAATGTTGGTAGTCAACCTGCGGGTGGACAACCACCACATGTTGCACGAAAAATGGAAGATTACGTACATGATGTCGAGTATGATGACCTCTGTTTCTTTTTAACATATTTTAAGTTTGTATTTTTTAATTTAGGCATATTCGACATGATTTAGAAGGCCAAATAAATAAACCAAAAGAAGAAATGACACCAGAGCAGCAAAATTTTTATTATTTTAAACTACATGATTCGAATAATGATAATCGTTTAGATGGTTTAGAAATTGTAGCTGCTTTTGATCATGCACATCAAGAAGAAAACGCTAATAATAATAATGATACAACAGGACAAACTCCTCCACATCACGAACGACTTCCTGATGATGAACTTATTCGTATTGTTGATGATATACTAAAAGAAGAAGATCTCGATCGTGATGGTTATATTAGTTATGAAGAATTTAAACATGCTATTGAAGGCAATTCTAATGCTCAAGGATAATTTAATCAAAAAGAAAGATAAAATCCAATTGTTATTTTTTAATTCATCGAAAAAAAAAAACATTCCTATCAACAAAAATTTTTATTTCATTCCGCTAGTTAGAAAACAAAAAAGAACTTTTTTTTTTTCTATTCATGATGTTGTTTTTGTCTGAATGACTCTCATATATTACATTGATCTGTTGTTTTTGTTATGTATCGTTTTCGTTGTTAAAGTGTCATAAAAAGCAAAAACAGCTAAATTTGACGTACAACTAAAGTATATGAATCATTATACAATTCATTTTCCATCATACACAACAAAAAGAAAAAATAATTTACAAACACATGCTCAATTTATATGTATAGAATTTAAATCTTCTCTTAGAGAATAGCATTGCTTTTTAGCTGGCGGAAACCATCTAGATCTCAAAAGTCTTTGAAAAATTTCCTGAAACTTTCACTATAATTTTTAAATTGGTGACTAATTGTAAAACATTTTCTTTATTTCATTAATTATGTATCAAATAAGTCTTTTAGTAATTTTGAAGATTCAACAAATACTCTCAACGTTAGGTACTAAATAAATCTAGTGATTAAAGACATGCTAGGCCAAATTTCTTGGTTATGTTCTAGAGAATATTATTTCAGAATTCATTTATATCACATCTAAATTAACTGTTCAATACTCATTTTATTTTTTTGATATATATAGTCGATGACAAGCACTTTTTTGGCTCATATCTCTTGAATTAAGTTCTGATTCATATTATTTACATGATAATTGGCTTAAAATCATAGAATCACGATAAAGTTTTATTTGTTTTTTTGCTTTGGCCGTCAGAAATGGTCGCGCACATATCTATTCTTCATCTATCTATATGCTTATCTAAAAAATTATTTCTTTTTTCTGACCAAAACCAACTTTTTAAAGGCAAGTATCACAAAAAGATATTAATGTTGATAACAAAAGTTTGTGTTCTCGATAACATTTATTTATTTAGTACTTTACGCTTGGTGAATGCAATAAAATAGAACTAAATACTTGTATAAGTTACTCATGAGCAAAAACATATCTATGGCTTTGTTCAAATTAAATATTATTTTATTTCTTATGATTTTATTTACTTCAAACAGTTTATCATATGTTCCGCCACGTATTGAAATGAAACGTCTTTCAAATGTACCGATTATATCATCATGGAATAATAATTCTGATTTTTTATATAATTATAATAGTGCTTTTATGCCAACAATAAATGATTCAGATGCAGTTGCACTTCTAGTACGTGTGCAAAATTTAAGGAATAATTCAAAAACTATCTATGATGTTGGCCCAAGTAAAATAGCATTAAGTCGAAGTATAGACAATACTTATCTTAAATATACATATATCACTGAACAAGATATAATCATTGATACTGATCGAGAATATCAATCAATTGGAGTTGAAGATCCTCGTATGGTCTTGTTTAATAGTACTTACTATCTGTAAGTGAATAACTAATCATCACTGTAGTTTTATATAAACATGAAAATTAGTATCAAGTAAAGCTATTCGAACTAACAGAATGAGAATATCAATTGTTGCATGATATGTTTTCATAGTTTTTTTAAAATTAGCTAGATAAATATCTATATAGTTTCCAGAAGCTAATAGAGAATATATGTATAAACAATTGAAAATTTCTTATGAGAAATTTTCTTTCTGTTTACCATACAAAATAATGTTTGACTTTAGCTCCGTTAGTATCACGGTTAACTTTTATATTGCTCAATGTGTGTTGTGATATGGAATTAATGAAATTAAAGATAATGAATTCATACTTATTATAGAAGTGTTTCATAGGTTTCGATTGATTTTTATGTAATAATTAATTATAAAAAGAAAACAAAATGCGTTTTTTTTCATCATCGAACATTGTAAATTCAATTTGATTTCAGAGGATTCTTACCAGTTTTTCTATTGTCAACAGAAATAGTCATATTATTTATTCTATTTCTAGACTAGTTTTGTATTTATTAGATTGTATACAGCTTTAAGCAGTGATTCACATGGTCTGTGGCGTGCTCAATTAGCATTAGCTACATGTCAAATCAATTGTTTCACCAAATTAAATTGGAAATATTATGGCCCCTTATTTCCTAATGTATTTTGGAGTAAAAGTGGCAGTTTATTAGTTCACAATGAGACTCATCGTTATTTATTTTTCAATGATTCAAATATTTCTATTGCACAAACAAAAGACCTTATTCATTATGATCTTTCATCTAGTCTACTTCTGAAAACTCGACTTGATCGTTTTGATTCAGCACTTGTTGAAGCTGGACCACAACCATTAAAATTAAGCGATAAAAATTATTTGTTTCTTTATAATTCAGCACGACAAACAACAATTCCCAATCCAAAACCTAACTGGAATCTTCAATATAATTTAGGTTGGGCAATATTAAATGGTGAAGATCCAACACAAGTTTTAGCTAGAAGTGAATTACCAATTTTTTCACCTGAATTAGATTGGGAAAGATGTGATACAGAATCAGGAGAATGGGCCAATCGTGGTCTTACACCACTTGTTATTTTTGTTGAAGGATGGAAGAAAATAGCTGAAGATACATTCTTAGTTTGGTATCAAGGATGTGATTCAACTATGGGTTTAGCTGAACTTAAAGTATATTTTTCATAAATTAACATCGTAACACATGAGTCCTTTTTTTGTGTCTAATAGATTTCTTTATGAATAATGTAATATTTATATTTCTTTAATCTTTACCATGAAATCTTAGAATGATTTCGGCTAGAATCATTTAAATTCAAACATGTTATACGGACATGATTAAAGATTCTATATCAAAGTAGAAACATATCTAAGAATAATATATGCTGAATATACTGTTTGATAATGATTGCAAAATATATATTAATCGTTGAATATTCTTCTTGTTCTTGTCTTGATCAAAGCAAAGCATCCTCTTTTATGAGACATATGTCAAATGAAATACATCTATCTAAGTACTTTATTAATTGAATTATGACAATTCTATAGGTCAATAAGTTATCATGTCTATCAATTATCTCTGTATAGTTTAATAAAACAATTCATATTTACTATAAAATATGAAGTATTACAAGTCTCAGATGGTATCAATTGTTTTGTCATTATTTGATGAATTTTCAATTGAATATAAATCATCAAGGGCTTTCATTGATTTTATATATAACAAACATAATTCGCTTTTTTTTTACAAGGGCAACATAACCTCTTTGATTTATAAGCAGTGTGTCAATGACCCAATCATGCATATATAAAGTGAATTGATGAAAGTTAAAATTAACGTTTGATAAAATATCATTTAGAGACTTGAAAATAGTTGTAATTGCATATGTATAATTAAATGTCATTAGAATGCGACAATGAAAGTGAAAGAAACAAAACGTACACACGCACATATACAGAACAAAAAAAAAGAAAACATTTTCTATCACCTGTTACGCAGCTCTTTTTTGTTTTACATATTCTTTAGAAAGAACTTTTAGTTGTTTGTTTTTTTTTTTATCCATGATGATATGCATTCGGATGATGATTAATTAAACTGGATGATAAATTATGCATACGCATATTTCTTGTATATTCATCTTCTGCATGTTGATGTTGTTGTTGATATTGAGCATGAAATGACATTGGATTATCCTTAACAATAAAACAAAATTTTGTATTTTATTTATTTATTTCATAAAACTTACCATCGTTGAACGAACATTAAAATCACATGATGATGGTGGTGGTGGTGGAAATGGTGAATAGAAAACAGCTGCCGCTGCAGCAGCACTGGTAGCTGGATCAGTTGCCATCATAAGACTTGTTGGAGATGAAGTTGATGCATTTCCTCGACTATTAAACATTTGATGAAATGATGATGAGGATGTTGGATTTGTTGAAAATGCTTTTGATGATAATCGAGTAGATGATAACATAGATGTACTACCTGATGATGATGAATTATGTGATTGTTTACGAGCTTTTGCTCGTCGATTTTGAAACCACACCTAAACAATTTCTTTTTTTCTTGTTTTGTTCATTAATATTCTCAATGGTCATTAGACCATATATAAATATGATTCAGCATGACATGTGCAAGAAGCTTTTATATTACGAAGAGAGACATGACACCTTAGTTCTGTCTATTCTAAAGAAATGATCCATATGTCCAAGTTTTGTTTAACTCGTTGCCGCTATGATGCTGATTTCTTTTTTTCTTCTTCTTATTTCTTTTTTTGAATGAACAGTTGTTCAAGACGACACGTCTCGATTCAAATTACAAGCAAAAAAGTGAAAGAATGTGTAAAAAAAAACGAACGAGATTGAGAGAGAGCGAGCAAGAGAAAAGATGAAGATAAAACGCATACTCGATGTGTGAACAAGCAACATCCAATCGGAAAAATAGTACCATCAAATGAACCGTGTTACTATAACAGACGGCATGTGATTTGAGTGGAAAATCGGTGTAAATGGAATCGGAATGTACACGCACACAATTTTCAGTTCTGCCTCAAGGGAAATAATAAATAGAATATTAAAAAAAAAAGAAGAATTGCTATTTGAATTTGACTTTTTTTTTTAGTCTTAATAGATTAATAAATAGTTACCTGTATACGGGCTTCATTTAATTTCGTTGCTCGTGCTAATTCTTCACGTAAATAAATATCAGGATAATGACCTTTAGCAAATGATGATTCAAGTTCAATAAGTTGTTCTTGTGTAAATGTAGTTCGATGTCGACGACGTGCTGATGTATGATTACGTTGTTGGGCTTGTTGATGTTGTTCATGTGATTGAATAAGTTGATGATGTGTAAGAGGTACAGATGTTGCTGTAGATGATGCTGTTGGTGGTGGTGGCGGTGGAATAAATGGATGATTTATTGTTATACCATCATGTTGTTTTGTGCGTTTAAATGCACCAGTATTTACTAAAGGAGAAAAAAAAGAACTTTGCTGATAATTTATAATAAAAAAAAAATACTAATAATTACATGAAGTAATTGTATAGTTGCTATTTTCTAACATTGTCTTGATTTTGTATCGTGCAAATATATCCAGAGAATTTGATTACTGTGCTCTGGTAATCTTTCAACAAGATTGTCTTCTTTTTCTATCTTTTTTGTATCGGTCGGACAACTCAAGTATTCGTCGTTCAATGAAAAAAGAGAAGAAAAAACTTGCATTGGAAATGAAAAATGACAAGAAGAAAAAGAAGGAGAAGAAAAAAAGATGAATGGTTGCATGGCGGATGTGCTCCGTTCAACAAGATGATCAACAACCAATCGGCGCAATGTTTCAGGCATCATCATTTTGATCCCACATGCTTCTACAAATATATAAAAAAAGAAGAAAAAAAAAAACATATAAGAAGAATTTAGATTGCAATCAACTATCGATTGTTATTTTGTCGGAAACAGACAACAGACAAATTATTTATTCAAAGATTAATTTTTTTTTTATAAATAAAAAAAAAAAAAAAAAAAGAAGGTTCTTTGATTTCTTTTATAAAAAAAAACAAAAACCATTTTTCTACAAATATACTTTACGTAGATATATATTATGTCATCAAAAAATGATATTTTCCTAGATTATATGTGGATAAACTTGACTGTATATGCCATGAGTAACATAAATTTTAATCTGGTTCTAGTTTCTGCTTTCTTCATCTATATATATCTATATCTATATATATATATATAGTTTTTCTCTTTTTTCTTTCTATAAGAAGAATGAAGTGGATCAAAATTAGATTTTTGTACTGCCCCAAAATTTGATTATTCTAACTGAACACATTAGTAAGTGTGAGGAAAGTAGAAACAAAAAAATGTTTGATTACTATTTTAATGTTTGCAAATTGAGAATATGAAATAGAACAAAAAAAAAAAAAAGGAGAATGATTCAAATCATTGTTTTTATTTTCATTAAGAAAATATGTATTGTAAAATATGAACAAATATTAAAGAATTCTAATATTTTTTGACAATTATTTCATCTATATAAGAGTTAATATTGAATTAGTTGTTATTATAACAATGAAATTAACTAAGTCAGATGCAAAGAAAGAAGGAAAAAAAAATGAAAAATTTCTCTTTTTTTTTTCTTTGTATCTCTTTTTCTTTCTTTATTCATAGAATAAAATGGCACATACACATATACACAAACGAAATATTTTCACTGTTCAAAAGGTAAGATACACACACACACACACTGTTCAAGCTGGATAATGAAGCATTGATGTATGATCGACACGAAACGATGAGAGACTTTTATTGTACCAATCAGTATCTTGAAAAGATAATGGATTATCCTAGAAAAAAAAAAACAAATTTGTATTTTCAATGAAACCTTCTTGATCAACTATCAAACCTGTCGAATACCGGCTGTAGTTAACGGTGAAAATTGTGAATATGCAACAGCTGTTGGTGGATAACGAATATGATTTGTAACAACACTATTTGTGCCTGTTGTTGATGTTCCTGGTGTACCATATTGATATGGTCTTCCAGTTGATGCTTGATAAAAATTTCTCATCATTGCATTACATGGTGAAAGAACTGGTGATAAAGCTTTTTGTAATTGTTTTTCTTGTTTTCGATATTTAGCTCGTCGATTTTGAAACCAAACCTTTTTTGTATCAATGAAAAACAAAAATCAAACAACATAATAATACATATGTAAAGTCACGTTCATTTTCTTTCTTCTTTTTTTCTTTTCAATTAAACTATTCATTGATAATAAATGTTGGTATATGTAAGTTCAATTGTCAATGCACGAGCTAATCGATAGAATACAACAACAACAAGACTTGTCTTTTTCTTTTTCCTCTCGTGTATTGATGTAGTTTCTTGTCGGTCGACTGCACATACTCATTAGAAATCTATTCTTACGCGACGACGAAGTTTGAACGTTTAATTCAATTATCAAACTCTATGTGTATGTAGTCAGTACACTCGTCATCATCTTTCTTCTTTTTTCTTTCGGTCTGTCTATATTCCATGCTTCACTCGACATTTCCTCTTATGCTTGTCAATCATAAAGACATCTATGACAAGATGTGTGTGTGTGTGTATGTGCAAAGTTTCTTTTCTTTCATATTCTTATAAAACGAATTTATTTCTCTTTTATTTGTTTATTTCTTTATCACTAACCTGAATACGAGCTTCATTTAATTTTGTAATTCGTGCTAATTCTTCTCGACAATAAATATCTGGATAATGACTTTTTCCAAATGCTGATTCAAGTTCAGCTAATTGTTCTTGTGTAAATGTTGTTCGATGTCGACGTCGTGCTGGTGTTGGACATTGACCTCCACCGGGATTTGATAATGAATGATGTGAAGATTGACTTGAATTTGTTGAATGTGTTGGAGAAACATTATTTGTATGATTATTAGGTGTTGATTGAAGATTTAATGATGGTGGGGGTACATGTGAATAATGTGGATTGTATGATTGAAGATGATATGGATGGGTATTTAATAAAAGGGATTCATGTTTGATTTTTTTAAATGCACCACTATCAGAATGGCCTATTGAAAAATATCACATCGTTTTTTAAACATGAGTTTTTAAATATGTATAAGAAACAAAACAGAATACTAACCTGTTGGATTAGAAATAAATTGTAAATTATTATTTGATGATTGATTTATAATATTGAAGGGTGATGTTGCTGACGATGATGATGATGGTGGTAGAGGTTGAGATAATGTTCGATTTAAAGCAGAAAAATTAACATAATGATCATCAGATGTATTTGAATGTAATTTGAATGGTGTTGAAACATTACGCTTTGAATCAGATTCTGTATTATCTGAATTTGTTGTATTATTAGATGTTACTGAAACAAGACTTGCTGCTGCTAAACCCATAGCTGTTAAACCAAGTGCAGAGGTTGTTGTTAATTGTGATGACGATGATGATATTGATCCATCACAATCATTAGTTGTATTTGTCGTACGATTATTAAATGATGATGATTGTGAATAGGTATTGTTACTTGTTGTAATTGATGAAGATAATATTCGATTAGTAGTATTATTATCGGTTAAGTTTGACATTTTGCGTATATATATATATAAATATAGATATGTTGATCAAAATTCAATTATATGTTATTCATTGATAATGATTATTATCTTAGTAAAGAGAAAAGTGAATGAGTGGTTGAAATATAATTTGTTCGCTTTCTCTTTGTTTCTTCGTCGTCTCTTTATCGATTTTTTTTATATTATATTATAATTATCATATAATTCTAGTTTATAAGACTCTTAATTTAAGGTGACTAATTCTGTTAGACGACAAATCAACACTTATACTAATAATATCGTATAGAAAAAAAAAAAAGAGTAATAAATAATTGATGCAGGCAGTAAAGAATATAGACGGCGGTAAAGAGAAGACGGCACGTCCGACAACTCGAATGCGAAACGAAGGAGACAACTTCGTTAGGGAAAGAAGAGAACTCGCAAAAACTTCAGCTAACGAATGAAATTTACTTCCATTAGGCTAATGTTGTTTCCACTCACTCATTCATACCCACGAACGGCATAGCTCAGAAGGCTCTTGAGAATCGATGCATTTCTTTTTTTTTTCTTTTCCTTTTTACTCTCTTTCTCTGTGTAAGTCTCCAGTTTTTTATATTTTTTTCTCTTTTGTTTTGTTATCCAATAGAAAAATTGATGAATCGATAAGATGGATTATTATTGGTAGAGACATTTTAGTGTTATTAACGAAGAAGAAGAAGAAAAAAAAAAACCTATCAAGGAAACTGCTTTCCAATTCCTTCTTTTTCTTTTGTTGACAAGAAGAAAAAAGCAAGAGAATGAGCCGAAAGAATAGCTTGTTTTCTAAGACAAGTGTGATATTGATGCTCTTGTTCGTTGAATTATTCGAGCAGATTTCGTGCTCGTTAGGGTGCTTACAGACTGACCATCGATTCTCAGATGACAATGTCGATGAACAAGTTGCATTAATTGAATGATTGCCATAAGCGTTTTTTTTTCTTTTTTTTTTCTGTTCATCTGTCTAGCGCAATGCTGGAGGCAGAAGAGCTAGAGATTCTCTCACTTACTAGACCACCCACTGTGTACATTTAGTATTAATAGAAACTGCCAAATGGTAACTACTTTCAACTAAGTCAACGAATGTACCTTAGAAGGAAACCTACATATATCTATGTCTGACGACATTAGTAGATATAAAAAATGATCATTTAATAAAGGATACCACTGATTTTTTAACTGAAAAAGTTTTTTCAATCATTTGTTTTTATGGTGAAATGTGTCGACTACCTATCTCTAAGCAGTCTTTGGTAAATTAATAATTTCAATGTTAGATGCGTCGTCAGTGGACATAGAGAAATAGAACCATCAAAGAAGAATTTAAATACAATTTGACGAGATCGAATATTTAAAAAAATGATGCTATGAGATCCAATTGCAGGATTGTAGAGTAGTGGTGATTATATACATGGACATTATCCAATTCAATTTAAAAAAAATTTGATAAAAAGAACTTTAAAAAAAAACTGATGAAATAATTCAATTTTCTACTGTACAAAGATGCAGTCAAAATCAATATGAACTTTTTTTTCAGCGAGCATGAGCAACAAAGTCTTGAAATCGTTGAATTTTCTTGTTATTTCTAATGAGTGTATTGCCTGCAATAGAATATTATCTAGGGATCACCATTATTTCATTTGTAAAAGCCGTGCTGGTTTTTCTTGTCTTTGTCAGGATGACATAACTTTTATTTGAGAAGAGCCGAAATCTTATGACTTTACTTCAATGATTTGCGTATACATATACATTATACTTGATTTTAGTAGTACAGTTTTATAGAAGTGTTTTCGTGTCTTTTGACTAATAAATCTATTTAATATTTGACTAACAAAAACAAAAAACAATGTTAGAAAAATATCATAATCAGATGCCAGATCGATTTGGTGCTGGCTCAGAAAATTGTGATGCTCGATGAATCTTGTCTCTTTTTGGTCTAAAAATATATAAGAAAGTGTTATTTTTCTTTCGTATGAATAAAATTGAACGAAACACTTACCTTAATTTGAATATAGCTGGATGTTCATTGAACATTTGTGATAATTGTTCAGTTTCTAAACGAAAATCTTTTTTCGTTAATTGCTTTCTATAAAATCGGTTATCATAATCATTTTGAACTTGAGATTTAAATACACCATCACTCTATAAATAAAAAAGCAAACATAAATCATGAATCTAATGAGTTAATGTCAAACCACAACCGAATAGAATTAGTATACATAAAGAAGTCGGATTTGAAATATTTCCAGTTAAAATTGATTTTTCTTGCTTTGATCCGAAAAAAAGCTTAACAGAAAAATACGCGAACTCATATCTATCATTTGCACTTATATTGGTCGTATAAGGATGACTTGACCAGATTAACAAAAGCTTACTCCATTGAATGATTGGTAGAATATGCTAAAAATTTGCCTAGATATTGAATTTTCAAGTAAACTCGATTTTTACATTATACCGGTGACAAGCAAGTATGTTTTAGTAATTCAATATCTCTATACGAAAGATATCCTTCTTGGCTGAAACTTTCAAGATATTCTAAGAATTATTCATTCTATCCATGAACGGAACTTTCGGTTGAAATTCTTTTATTTTTACTTTTCGGTATATAGCTTAAATTTGATCGAAAGTTCCGTAAGATAATCATAACTCAGCTTCGAACCGCCACGAAAACAAATTCTTTTAAACTTTTGTAAGTCTCATCAAGTCGTTCTTGTTGACTTACTACTATAAGCTGATCTCAGTTCACGTAAATTTCTCGTTTGTAATGTGTTTAAAAGAAAAATCAATAAAATGGATGATATTTAGATTTCAATAATCAACTTAACATAGTTCAATTAGAAATATTTATAACCTTAGAAAATACTTTTATGGGCAATTATTACATGAACATTTTCAAATAAACTCTATTTAACATTAAACTTGCTAACCTTAGCAAAACTAGGATCATTACGATCGATAGATTTTGTATATTCATAAGGATGTGGTTTTTCTGGATGATAACAAACAATATGATTTGTATCAGGTGCCATAGCAATACAAGGATTTGGTAAATTTACACTAACATCTGATGATGCAAAAGCGGAAATAGTTGTTGAAATTCGACGCGATAATAATCCTCGACATATTATTCGATACATATTCTCTAATATGAAACAGACAATCAATCTGGAATAATCGAATTAAACTATTTTATATTTTCTTTTTTTTCCTGCGTAAAATGAGATGTATTCAAGCTCGACTAAGAATATATAAAAAAAAAGAAACAAAGAAAAACAAAACGAGTCAAAGTTGAGCAATATAATATGAGATCCATATAATCAATCAACAATGAATTTAGGTTTTTTTTTTTTTGGTAATTTTTTTATGTTGAGGAAGCAAAAGATGAACAAAACAAAATAACAAACAATTGAAACGCGACATGTTTACATGTTAAAAAGATGCAAGAAAAATAAATAAAGAAAACGACAAACATGTTTCATATCGCCCACAACAAACAAAAAAAAAGAACAGATTGACTATAAATTATTGCGAATGATCATCACAAGTCTTTTTTATTTGTATCTGCTGTTGGTTTTACATATTTATCTTTAATTTCATTAATACGTTTAATAAATTCTGATTTTTCAATAAAATCAACACTTTCACCCCAATCACTTAAGATCTTTTTTAAATCTTTTACTTTTAATTTATTTAAATCTACAGAATTAACATCGATTTGTTTTTCTAAAAAAAACAGAATTAAATCAAATTAAATTTAATAAAGAAAGAAAAAGAAATCATATTATTTACCAAATTTAAGATCACATATTTGTGGATTTGTTTTTGAAAGTCTTTCTCGACAGATTTTTTCAACTGGTATACCCCATGATAATGGTTTAGATAAATCACCAATAGCATAAGTTGCTGATGTTTCTAATGCACCAATATAATAACACTAAATAAATAATAATCATAGAAAAATAAAATGATTTTATATTGAAATATAATTAAATATTTACCAAACGATGTTCTTTTGTATCAACTTTAACTTTACTACAAAATTTTTTAAATGCTTTTTCTATTTTTTCTGCATTTGTTTTTTCATGTTCACTCAATGTATCTGCAAATGTATTGATGGTTTTTATACAGACTAAAAAACAAGAAAATATAATGAAAAATAAAGATCGAATAATATAAAAATAAAATATTTTTATACCTTCACAATGTTGTTCATCCACAGGTTTTTTCGAATGAACCGTTGATACAATGAATAGAACTGTAAAAAGGTATATTAAATAGGATAATGATTGCATGATTTAAACTGTATAACTAAATTTGAATCTGATAATGGTACGCAGTTAATATAAAACGAAAGTATGAGCGGAATGCGATGGTATTTTATTTGGTCGTGAGTGCGTGGCGTGGCGGGAATAAGTTAGTCGAAATTTACCGTTGTCAGATAATTATTTGGTTAAATAAGAACCAATCAAAAGCAAAACCATAACCCTTGTATAAATGTCGCTAGTTTAAGAAAAAAGGAACATGTTTTATTCGAATGTTTGGTCTATTTGTTGAGAATATTCGTTAACCAAAAAAATTTGATAAGATTAAATAATACTCTTTCTTACGTTTAAATACACAAAAAAATGAAATTTTTCAGTGTCAATATTCATTGATACATAATTAAATGGTAAAAGAGAAACTAGAAACATTCAAAATTAATAAAAGCATTTGACAAATCAGCATGACTAGCAAGTCAATTCATTATGATTTTGATAGATTGTATCATTCATTATTTATATTGAATTTCGATGTTAATTCATTGATTAAAAGATACATCCGTATTCAATCTATACAATTGATCGTTTTTTTTTCTCACCATTGTTTTTAATTTATTACCATATTTTCTTTTCAATATTCATGATACAAGTGAACACATTGTTATTCACATATATCTAACCTCATGGTTGTGTACTGTATTGCCAAGACGAACCTCATAGAAATAGAAATCATCGGCATAAAGTGCTTCGAAATCAAGATTGCAAAATACCTTTCAAATCATCTATGTTTGGGAGTTTCGTTGCGAAGATCATTCCTAACGATTAATCTATCTGAATATTTATCATATATATATACTACAGATATCATTATCAGAACATCACCAATAGATTGAGTCATTGAATTGAAGATCGTAGAGAATAGACTCTGTCGATAGTCTCATGAGAGAATTTCGATGAAGCGTATACAGATTTATCGTATCTATTCATCGATGAGAACTATTGAAATTCTAATACATATCTAAGACGGGATACTGATTGGTAGTATTCTACAATGGGAAGTAAATAGAAGCCAGACGACTAAAAGAAATCCAATGTTTTACTCAAATTTTTTTTCGAAAAATTTTTTTGAAACAGAAAAACACATACAATCATACTGATACGCACTCAATGAACAATTAGATGAAATAATGCTCCAAGCGTTTCACATATTATCCTTTTGAGAACGTAGATGTACAAGTTAAATTAAAAATAGATTTTTTAACTATTTCGTATTTCTGTTCTTTCAGAAATAATTTAACTATTTGGAATAATATGAATTGAACAGTTTTCCTAAGCGAACAACTTTCTCTTCATCATGACAATCTTTTGTAAAAACAAATTAGTTATCTTTGTTTGATTATTGTTTTAAATGATCATTTATGTAATTAGAACATTCTTCTATGGTAAGTATTAATACAAGTTAAAGAAACTGTATTCATTTTTGAAAAATAGTTGTATATATCTATTATTATCTATTATTCATACAAAACAATACTTGATTCATTTTTCTTTATGGATGTACATTCATTGGATTTTAGATGCTTGTATATCTATGTAGAAAATTGAGGAAAAAGTCTTATTCTGCTCATGTCACAAATAAAGTTAGCTTCATAGAAAATATCTCAAAATTAGCAATAGTTCTTCAAACCATTCATTCTTATAGAGGATTAAATACACAACAAAGGTTCCTCATCAATGACCAGAAAAAAATTGATTTTCTTCTCTTGTTATGTTCATTAAAGCATACGAAGTATTTCATAATAATTGAAGTGCTTTTTCTTCTTTGAATGATTATAACTCATGCTGTTCAAGAAAATCTAGTCATTTTTTTTTATTTTGACCGGTATTCAGTATCAAGTTCATTTCTTTCAGCATTTAAAAGAAATTCATTTCAATATTGCGGGCATTCTTAATTTATTTTAAACATTACAATGTTACTTTTTATTTTTTCAATAATTATATTAATAGTAAAATTAGTGTTGGAACTCTTTCAATCATTCTAAGATTTTTGCATAACCAAAAAAATGTTATATAGTTAAATAGAAATTTGATGAGATTAAGAGCAACTACAACATTTTCTTTTGACAAAAAAAATGATGAATTTCGTTTTCGTCTATTAAAAATTAGTCTACGACTAGTAATATGCATCTGATACAGTCATCATAAAATAGCGACCCAAGACTATATTTGTTTTTAACCATAATAAACCGTCAATAATAATGAAGAATTTAAAACTCCTTTGACGTACTAAAGAAAATCAATATCAGCTGTTGATAACTCTGTATGGGTCACATATTTAATAAATATAACATATACCAATGAACTCAATTAAGTATAAATTAAGACTTGTGTTTCAAGACAACCATTAGGAAAAAAACAAAGTTTGACTAAATTTATTATATGTAATGAATAGTGTTTGAGACTGGAACTCGACGGAGTCGAAGATGGATTCAATAGGTTATAGTCTTTCTAACTTTTCTTTTCAACATACCATTCAAATTGTATACGTAACAATCGAAATATATGAATAAAATCAAGCAGATTTTATCCATGACATCTGATTTATTAACAATAAATTGATACAAAAAATTTTTGCTATTAACGTTTAGATTTGAATCGTTTCGATAAAGATGACCGCGATGGTGATCGCGGTGGTGATCGTCGTGGTGATCGTCGTGATGCTCGTTGTGGCGATCTTCGTGGTGATCGTCGTGGCGATCGTCGTGGTGATCGTCGTGATGCTCGTTGTGGTGATCGCCGTGGCGACATTCGTGGTGATCGTCGTGGCGATTGTCGTGGTGATCGTCGTTGAGCTTTGAGTGCTTTAAGTTTTCTTTGTTTTTTATCATATTCCCATTTTGCTTTTGCTACACTTTGACTAAAATCTACATGTATACGTCGATCATCAATAAGTACATTATCCATTTTAAAATAAGCTTGTTCAGCATCTTCTTCATTCTCATATTCAATAAATGCATAACACAGTGAGTCTCCTGTCTTTTTATCTCGTACAATCTCACAACTGAGAATTTCACCAAATCGACTGAATATTGTTTGTAAATCTTCATCAGTTGTAACTGGATTTAATTTACATACGAATAGAACATTTTCTGGTGGTTTTATATCAGCCTAAAAGAAGGACAAATTTGCATAGTTAAAAAATAATGAAATTATTTTTTATTTTATTTTATTTTATTTACACTAAGAACGTTCTATTTTCTCTGATTATGAGTTAGTCTACCGAGTAAAAAATATTTGAACATATAACATTCAAAATTTCTTTGAAGGAGTTTCGTAAGACTTCTGACTATACGAGCATGGCAAAATGCTTGCGAATCATACTTTTGTTTATGGATAGTGAATAGAAAAAGTGCAAGTTTCTCAGCAGATTTATTTGTTTTTAGGTTTTTTTATAGCTCGTTGTGTGTTGATCATTTTGGTAAAACAAACTATTCAAATTCACTGAATAAATCATGGTTCTAAGATCACAATACTCAAAAACATCAACTACTGCTGAGCACATTGTCAGGAATAGCCGAAGTTTTTGAGTATTTTCTTCCTAGCATGATGATTTATTGGGGAAATTTGAATATTTTTTTTAGTAAAATAATCAACGCCACAAGTTCTATAGACGAAAAATGTCTTCCAAGAACCTTATGTTTTGTATGGTTGACTACCCATGGAAGTATTCATCAAAAAATACGATTCACAAGTACTTTATCATGCGTACGTAGCTCGAAATCAACTGTTCAATAATATAAAAATATAAGTTTTCTGATAATAAATCTAGATGATAAAATTCATTTCAAAACAAGATAAGGAATTTCTTTTTTTCATTTGTATCAATTTGTGTTTATAATCCTTAGTTATAAATTAACAACGATTAGAATACTGTAATCCGTGGGTTGAATACGAAAAGTTATATTCGTGCAGTACTCTAATTTAGATAATCAAATTCGATTGAAAAATAAACAACAACAAGAAAAGTAACGTACCTCTGGTAAATCGCCAATAAGTTCAAGAATTTGTGCTCTTGCTTGTGCTTCTTTTTCTTCAATATAATCTTTTATTTCTTCATCTGTTTTTCCTTGTACACGATCTTCATCAAATATTTCATCGAATGCAATCATTGATGATTTAACACGTTCAATAGTTGGCGATGGCGAACGTTCAGGTATATCTAATGATGATGGAATTTTATATGGATTTGATATAATAACTGTATGTATAATACGTATATCATGATATGGTCGAAAATCTCGATCAACAACAGCTATATTTATTTTATCTAATACATCCCAACCATCAACAATTTCACCAAAAACTGTATGAATACCATCTAATGAATCAAGATTTGCTGATAATGTAAGAAAAAATTGTGAACCATGTTGATTATTTGAATTATTAACCATTGATACCGTACCACGTTTACGATGTTTAATTAATGGTTTTTTTTCCATATCAAAATATTTTGCTTGTTCACCATATAATTCTCTATAAATTGATTCACCACCACGACCTGTACCTGTTGGATCACCTGTTTGTGCAATAAAATTTGTTTGTATTGAATGAAAAAGGCAAAAATTATAATATTTTATTGCACATAAATATAAAAAATTTTTAGATGATATTGGTCGTTCTTCATAATATAAATCAATAGTTATATCACCTAATGTTGTTTCAAGTACAACAGACATTTTATCTAAATCTAGAATAAAGCAAAGAAATAGAACAAGCAAACAGCAAAGAATTTTCATGTATAAATATATATATGTATGTATGTATGTATATGCATTCGTTTTATTTTTTTTTTATTAATCTTTCCTTTTAAGATTTTTCTAATTTTTTTGGGTTCATTTTTTAATTTAGTTATATGTGCTACAAGCGTATTTATATACAGCAGTTGAACCAAACAAAACACAGAGTTAGAAAAGAAAATGAACAGTTTCAAGTAACGACACACAAAAAGGAAAAGAAACGTTTTTTCTTCTTTTTTTTCTTTTTAATCTTTTTTCTTTTTTTGTTGTTTTTTTCTTTTTGTTCCTCAAAATGGAAAAAAAACAAAAAACAAATGGAATAGAGAACGAAAGAGAGACAATAAGGTTTTGAACAAGTAGAAGAAAGACACAAAGAAATACATCAAACAACAGTAATCCAATGTATTATTTCGAGAAATGTCTTATTTATTTAATTCGTCACATGATTTGTTTCTGATGTTTTTGGAGATGATTCATTATTTAATTCATCGTTAGATTCAAGTTTTAAACGTTTTGCTACAACATCTGAATCAGTTTCAATAGTTGTGTCAGATGATGGTGAATTTAATTTTGGTCGTTTTAAAGATGAATTCATATTTGTTTCGGATTTCTCATCAAGTAAATTTGTTCTCGATAATCGAGGACTTTGATTTAATGTTGATATGGCATGTTGTGGTAAAACAGTATGTAAATCTCGACGTCGTATATAACTATTTATATAAAGAAACAAAAAAAATTCATAAAAACTAAAATGAAAACAAACGATTGCCTTACCGAGCATCAAGATTGATAATTTCACGATTCAAATTAGGATTATTAGCCGAGGCTTTGTAAACAACATTAAGAAATATACGAATTTCTTCAGTCAGATCAAGTTGAACTTTATTAACATTTTTAAATTGTAAACCTACAACCCACATTCCACGAAATGTGTTTGGAGTGTTTGTCGTATTGGACGGAGATGTTGTTGATTGTTGTGTGACATTTGTAGACGAAGATTCTAACAATAGATTTTATTTAAATTATTAAATTCAAAAAGAAAATAATTTTAAAAAGTTTCTTTTATCGAATAATTTATTTTCATGTAGAACTCAGTTGGGAATAGAGACCTATGGAACAGAAGCGGGCTCAATTTAACAAGCTGCGAATTGAACCAATCCGAACTGTGCTATGAAGTTAAACTTTTCCACTATCATATATTTTTTTCTTTTTGTGCTAGTTAATAATGAGAATCTATCTCTAGTGTTTGTTTTTGTTTATTACTTAACACATGTAGAATAAATTTGTTATTATGTAAGAATAAAAATACTTAGTTTTTCTTTTTTACTGATGTAGCTCAAATTCCAACGGAGACCGATGCAAGACTCTAGTTAGAACTAATAGCTCGATACTAGATAAAAAAATACTCTTCATATTACGTCCATAACAAACAGAACTGCAAAATCACGTGAATCCTAAGACTTTAATTTGTGAATTTAAAAAAATATAAAAACAATGCATATAAGATAACTAATTTTGATTAAACTATTATCAATCAAGAGATATAATAAAGATGAATATCGAAGTTTGCACTGTACTTTCAATCGCATCTTCAATAAGCAAATGAAAGAATTATATTCTTTTACTATGATTTTGGAAATTTTTTTCCATGTGAAAACACCCAATCTCAAGCTCCATGTTGAATGAATTAATGGTGAGTAGAAATCTCAGTCTCAGTAGAGAAGTAGCATCAAGTGAAAATAGAATAATTTTGGTGGCCTATACAAAAATCTTATCTTTACACTAACTCTAGGCATGATTATTCACCGAGAATAAAAAATTTATAACGCTTCGTGTCCACATATCTTATATATGAATTAGTTAACTAACATAAAAGACTACTGTGAAAGAGAAAACCAAATTAAAAAAAACCTTCAATAATATTTGTTGTTTGGAAAATAAAAAAGAAAGATTTCTTTACCTGGACTACTATGACCATTAGTTTCTGTTGATTTTTTCAGATTATTTTTATTTAAATTTTCATTTTCTGTTGATGTTTTATTATTAAGTTGCTGATTTTCAAAAACACTTTCATCAGGTGTATATTTATCCGAGTTAACATGTGCTATATCAATATACATATTTCTTTCAAGATTTCCAATAAGAAAACGTATTTTAGCTTCAACTAAACCACTCCATTCAAGAAATTGATTTTGATCAGATGATGATAATAATAGTATAATATAATGTTTATAACGTTGAAAAAATGGTCTACCAGTAAATAATTGTTTCCATTCAGATTTCGATGCCATTATATCATTAACAATATCTAAACCTCGTTTTATTTCTTGTACAATTATTTTTTGTGTTGATTGTGTTACATTATGTGTTGAATTTTGTTGTGGATAAGCTGGTGTTATTATTGGCATTAAATGATGACGATCAAATGGATTTGTTACTGGATCCCATACAGAAAAACCATGATGTGCATCATTAACTGGTTTAAGTAAAACAGGTGTTGGCCAAGCCCACTGGGAATAAACAAGAAAAAATTTATGAACTAATGTTGCAGCTATAGCATTTGGATATAATTGACATATACGTGCAACCAGCATAGCCCATGTAACACCACCAAAAAATCCTAATGCATTACTATACAGGCCACATTTTTTAGCCCATAATTTGATGGCACGTAATGTTGATTTAAATGTCTCACGATTAGGTACTAAATCAAGAATTTCATCTGTTACACGACATCCATTTAAACTACGTACACAACGTTGATCTAAATTAAGTAAAATTTTATCATCTTTTAAATCGAGTGTATCAGGTATTGTTGCTAATGCCAAACGAGCAAATAACATATCAAGTTCAATACCATCAAATGTTAATTTAATAACAGGTACATATGCTTCTTCAATTGCACGTAAATCACATACTTCAGGTTGACGACGAAGAAATTCAACAAATGTTGTAAAAAAATCTGTACGATCTATGTGACGTGGAGCGATCAAAAGTGTATCAATATCACCACCTAAAATTATAATTAAGACTTTGATAGTCAAACAATTGAAATTAATTATTAAATTTAAAATATAAAATTTTATATGTCAGTAATTATGCAATTTTTATAGAAATTGAGAAATTACTTTACAAAATACGTTTATCATTGACTCATGTTGGTATAAACGAACCATTAACAAAATTCAAAAGTATTTTCAATCTATTATTAAGAATATTTTTTTGTTATGTCAAATAAAATATTCAATTTTTATTAAAACTATAAATAATAAGGTTAACTTTATTAGATTAATTTATGAATATTGAAATAAAAAAAAAAAAATGTTACTTCAACACTAAATCATCTATCTTGTTCTCTTTGATTGTATAAAAAAAAACATAACAAGTATCCTATGGTTTTTCAAAATAAAAATAGACATCTGTAATTTTATTATTCATCCAATTCTTCACTTACATATATAGATAAAATTGATAGCTTAAAGAATTATTTTCTACCCTGAGAACTTTTCTCTCATATCACTAGACAGCTATCAAAACTTATCTATTTATTTTGATTATTTACAATCTAATGCATACAGTATATCTCGAGTTTTTATCAAACCCTATTTATAATCAATATTTTATTTAATTAATATGAAAAAATAGAATAAAATTTAAGGTATCATATCTATACTGTAATTGTAACAAAAAGAAATTCTCTACAAAACATATCCATTTGTTTTGTTGTCAATCGATTCAAATAAAACTTCAATCTAATCTATAATTGAATATTTTAGAAGATAATTATAATTCTGTAAAACACTAATACACCATCAATTTTTGAAATTTCATCGATTTTCTTAAAATATAAGAATATTCTAAAAAATTCTTTCACCTTTTGAATGAACGCCAAGTCGATATGATCCAAATGTATGTACACGTCCACCAACTGTATCGACAATCTCTGGCGGTACATTTTTTGCTAATGATACATCACGTATCCATTTTCGTACAAGTGTATTTAATTTAGCCATAACTTCAACACGATGTGCTAATTCAGCATCAGATTCAAAATAATCATATGAACGAAGTGTATCTTCAAGATTTTCTGTTGCTAATCTATCTGATGCATCAGGACCTTTCATTGATATGGATTGTGTTATTCCATATGAACGTACAGTTGATTGACTATCAATATTATTATTTCCATTATTTGTATTCATATTTGTATTAGTCGTTGTTGTCTGACGAACAGTAACTAATGTTGACATGATTGACTTTGTTCAACAGAAAACATAATGCAAATTTAATGTTTAATTATTCTCTTTCAAAATGAAAGATTTTCTAAGATATAATATTTTAAATAGACATAATCTATCTATAAAGAAAACAAAATATTACAAATAATCATAAGATATGACGACAAACATACATAATTTTTTTTCGTCATCCACCAAGTCAATAATATAATTTGATATTTAATAAAACCAATCAAAAGAAAGATCATGACCTCTATGATCTATTCTTTAACATATTAATGCATATTTACTATTCATTGATCGATAAATTGAAAAATTTAATTAAATATTATTTTTTCAATAAACTTTTTATTATATATAAAAGAGTTTTCTCATTAGACAACAAATTAAATCTAAATGAAATAAATAAATGGGTCATGTCAATAGAAGTATAGTTTATTGAACATAAAAGGACACAGATGTTCAATTCATATGATTGTTTTACAAATTTACGTCTCTCTTTTTTCTCTTGTTTTTCTTCTAGATGATTGAACAAAGTTGTGTTTTAGCCAAAGAAAATATTTGTACTATTCATTCTCAGGATCTTTTCGTTGTAATAATGGTAATAAAAAGGAAAGATAATCAAATTATATGATCTATTATTTATATTATTTATAGAATTCAAGTGAAATGTTCTTATGATCTATGTTCTTTTATTTTTCAATTAGTCTATATTTATAAGGTATGTTTATAACAAAATAAAAAGCATGATTCATCGTGTTTCACTATTTTACAACATACTTGAGCTATTTTACAGTCACTTGACAGACAGCAACAGTAACATCATCGATCATTTTTATTTTTTATCTGTCGGTCTGTTGACACAGTGTTTTGTTTTTCGTTTGTTATTATTATTATTGATGAATAAGTATAGAAAGTCTTTTCTTTCTTTTTCATGTCGAATTTCGTACTATTAGTAGAACATGCAATGTGACACAAGAGCATGTGTTACTCATTTGTATATGTTCTAGGCTCCTACCTGTACAATAAAGACGAAAGAAAAAAAAAAAAATCTTGCGTTTTCTTTTTGAAATAAGATAGATCAGTTCTGTAGTCATATTAATATTCGATGACTAATTCCAGAAAGTATGTTACAAATAAAAAACAGTAATTTATCAGTACGAACGAAAAAAAAATACATTCATATAAATATTTAATAATGCGCAAGTTTAACCCGTTTCGATCCAAACAACATCGCGATTCTTCTCATCGACCAAAGTCATCAATAACAACAATATTATCATCTAATTTCAGATCTCCAACAACAGTGAATAGTAATCCGACAACACCTACTCGACATATTACTATCTCAACACCAATTAATAATTGTAGAGACAAAGTTGTGATTAATGACAAAGATCAACCCAATGAAAACTCTAATGAGAAACAGGCAACAATTATAGAAAATGACAACGTTAAAGAACAAGTAGTCATATCAGAAGAGACAGAAAAAATGTTTGATCAATCTAGCCATACATATGATCAGGTAGAAAAAGAAACAATAAAGAACAAACTAGAAATTGTTTTCTTCTTCTTCTTAATGAACAGAAATACCAAAATAGCAAATTTTTTTTATGTCTATTTTATCCTTGGTCAACCCTTTTTGACATTTACATTGGATATTCATTGAATTCAAGAATAATATTTATATATTCTTTAGGAAAGATAAGTGAGAAAAATGTTAAACACTTCACTCCATGTAAATTGAGGTCACCCCTTAATATTACTTTTAGGATTCTATTCTATGATAGTATAGAGATGAAATGGTGCGAATATGCCGCCGTTGGCACACACACGCACATACATATACACATGGATAATTGATTAGCTTTTTTAACGCGTTGTTTGCCATATATCCTGCTGAGAGGAGGAAAAAAAAGAAAGACATTGCATGATGCTGCATGTACGTGTGTAGGATAATCGTCTAAAGCATCTGTTGTTTTTTTGTTGTCTTAGCTAGAAGAATTTCTCAAATGATAAATGAAAAACTGTTCTATACGTATTCATGTCATCAATGTCATTGATCGTTGACTAACTCTTTTTTTATTAAGTTTAATTAACATTCATAAATTAGCAGAGAAACTGAAACAAAATCAAGAGACGAACAAACAACTATTCATTATTTATCATCTTATCTTTATTTGGTATAACCTTCTCCATATTTCATATAAATACCAATTGATTAGATTGCACAAGACCTATCCTTCATGTTAAAACTATCACTAATAATACACCCATACACACACACATATATATATATATATATATTCACAATGACACTTCGTCTTTTTTCTACTTGCACGTATATGAACAAAACACATGCGAGTAATCATCAATGTACACAAGTTTATAGTACATTATAAAGTGCAGGCGATGAGAATGACGACAAATACAATAAATGAAGGGGGAAGAAAGAGAAAGGAATAAGAAGGAATATTCTCCTGACGATGATACCATTTCTGCATACGTCATTTGTTCTATCTGATATTATTATTCTTTTGCACTCACACATTATATATATATATATATATATACGAATACACTTATATATTGTTCCTCTATTGCGTCAAGTGAAAAAAAAAGAAAAAGAAGAAGTTAGACGACCTTATTTTGCTAGAAACATGTCAACAGGAAAGAAACTGCCTGTGGCTTCATCATCCAACTTGAGAAGTACTACTAAGGTATAATAGATAAGACACATGTCAACACTGAACAATATGAAATAAATACAATAGACATGAGCTAAAGAATTCTTTTTGTTTCTCTTAGCTTGCTTCATCTATATCCACATCAAGTAATCAATTATCTTCATCAACAAAACAGGTTGAATCACCATCATCACCCCTACCATCAACAATGGTTGGTAATAGTCCAAAAGAAGATATTTTAACAAGTTGCAAAGCAACAGCAATGATTTATAATGATGCACAAAAAAAATGGATACATTGTGCACCTAACGGTCCAGCTAAAATTCAATTATTATTTACTCCAGAAACTCAAACATATCGTATTGTTGGTCGACAAATACAAAATCATGAAGTTGTTTTAAATCATTCAATCATAAAAGGTATGAAATATAATCAAGCAACACCTACATTTCATCAATGGCGTGATCAATCAAGTGTATATGGATTAAATTTTTCATCAAAACTTGATGCACAAGAATTTGGTACAACAATGATGAAAATTCTGGAAAGTGTCAATGGTGCTACAAATGTTTCTTCTCCGACGAATACTAATACTCAAGCAACGCTTTCATCGACGACACAAAGTAATAATACTAATAATAACAGTGCAACATCGAATATACGTCAAACCAACCAGCCTTCTTCTTCCTCCCTTCCTTCGACAGCAACAACAGTATCCATCCATTCCACGTCAAATTCTTCTTCTGCATCTGAGCTAAGGCAACAACAGCAACAACAACAACAACAACAACATTCGTCGCCGTCTTACAATAACCAATTGCGTCCGAATTCAACATCCATAAATTCTATACCAACTTCAACTAGTAATAATTATTATAGTCAAAATCATCCACCAACTGAAGACGACGATACAAATTACGCACTAATTTCGGATTCATATTCATCATACGGTGATAATTCAACAAATAAAACCAATAATATTCCACCCACTCCACCAATAAATCCATCCATGTCGACAACAGGTAGTGCTCCTCCTGCTGCTCCACCACCACCACCTCCTCCTCCTCCACCACCTCCAATGCCCAATGGTTTTGGTAGTGGACCACCACCTGCACCTGCATTACTTCTTCCTAATGCTAATGGAAATGGTGGTACGAATACAGCACGAAAAACAAGTACATCTAGTGCTCCACCAATGGATTTAATGTCTGAAATGGCAGCTAAATTTGCTCAACGACGTAAAGTTATTGATGAAGGCGAAAAAACTGATTCATCACATGCAGCACCTAGTAAAGCATCACCAAAAGTGACAACATCAACTTTACCACCAACAACAGTTGCACCTGTTTCAACATCACCACGTGTTGCACGAAAAACAAATGAATCAAATTTAACAAATAATATAACAAATGATCTGGAAAAAATCAAAAACGAAATACTTACAGAACTACGTAAAGATATTGAAAAAGCTAAACAAGAAATTCTTACTGCTATTCTTGATCAACAAAAACGTATAAAAAAATGATAAATCATGTAATCATATTCAAATGAAAACAACAAAATAATTTTTTTTCTTTTTTTTTTTATTTCTTACATTACTATTTTTCTATTATATATTATTGTTGGTTATGTCTGTTCATGCGTATGTGTGTCTCTTCTTTTGTCTGTGTTTTTCGCTTATTTAAGCTTTTAGGAAGAAAAAAACCAAATCGAAATTCAAAATATACAATCTGACAATATGCTGCAATATTAATGAACAAATATTTTTTTGTCTTTGTCCGTGTTGTTTTTTAATTTGCTTCGAGAAACGTGCTGTTTTTTGTTTTTTTTACAAAGAAAAATCTTTTTTTTTTGAGGAATAAAAGATGTGCTATGACTTGGAAAGAAAGCTTGTTTTTTTTCTGTCAGATATTTCATGTTTTAGTCCTCTATGTGTTTGTCTTGGACAGTTGTTTTTAATATTTTATTTATCACCAGTTTACGAAACAAACTGTTCTTATTCTCAACTAATATCTCAATAAATATATTTGTTTTGTTCTTTTCTTTTTTCCTTGTGCTCCTTGATATTTAATATGGCGTTTTCTATTGTTTATGTTAACGAGTGTGTTTTTCCAATTACACGTCTTTTGTGTATCATGCTCTTGTTGTCTGTGAAAATGACGAAGAAACATAATCAATACATTTATATGATATCTTTTTTCTTTCTTGTCATCAATGCACTTTTAGAACATTTTAATCATAATGGAAATAACGACGCATAGTCAACGTAAAACTTTACCACGTTCGCTTCAATTTCAACGTATGGAACGTATTGTTAAAGCAATGCAACATCCAACAGCAGGTGTACCTGTTCGTGAACAAAAATTATTTCTTACCACAATACCAAATGCATTTACGGGTAATGATGTATCAGAATGGATTATGCAAAAATTAAATGTTAAGGATTCTGGTGAATAATATTGTTTGTTTATTATTGAAAATTATTTCTTTTTTGTTTTCATTATTTAGCTGAAGCACGTCATCTTGCTTCATTATTATGTTATTATGGTTATTTTTTTCATGTAACAACAAATGGAGCTGTACAAATCAAAGATGATAATGAATTATTTCGTTTTCAAGCACCATATTTTTGGGTTTCAACTAATTGGACAACAGGCAATGTCGAATATGGTTTGTTGAATACAAGAAGTTTTATTTTATTTTTTTTGTTTTTATTACGTATCGATTAATTTCTTTAGCTATTTATTTATTAAAACGAACATTAAGAAATCGTCAACGACATGGTCTTGAAGAATATGAAATGGTTTGTTTATTGTTCATTTTTAAATAATATTAGATTGTAATATTTTTAGTATGCATTAAATGATCTTAAAAAGAAATTAATTCATCAATGGGATTTCGTTACAATGCAAGCTGAAGCTCAACTTCGGTAAGATATTTCTTTTTTTAATATGGAAATTTTTTCTATATATTCTATTTATTATATTTATAGTGTACTCAAAGATCGTAAAAAAACCGATAAAACAATAATTGATAGTCAAGAACGAGCTTTTTGGCATGTTATGCGTCCGTCAGTAAGTTTCTGAATCGATTTCTTCTTTTTTTTGTAACAAATTTTGGTACTATGAATAGCCGGATGAGGCATCAATACTTGAAATGGATATACGGCATGATTTGTATACATATCGACCGATGAAACGTGAAGAATTAATAAAACGACGTGTAAGTTTAAATGAGCATTTTTCTTTAGACTTTATAAAACAAATCAGTTAGAGAATAAAAATGATTCAACTACCATTTTTTCAGCTTGAATATCTTCAACAGACATTGACCAATCGAGTACGCACAAAATCATCACAAACACATCAAAGGTTTTTTCTCCTCATTTGTGTATTAATACATGTGTCCCAACATCCCTACCGATCGATCGATGTTGCCTTTTTTTATTATTATTTTCTTTTCCGAACATTTGAACCCGATTGCTTTATGTTGTTATAAATCCAGTTTAATCTATTCGAAAACAAGAAATTCTAATTTTTATTATATTTTTTTGTTCTCTTTTTTTAGTTTATGCGCATTCGCTGAATTATTCAGTGATTATGATCCGTTTTTGGGACACTGTTCACCATCAAATCCATGGTTAACATCCGATACAGAACGATGGACTCTTATGCAACCTCTGTATGTATCTATTTTTCTCTATATACATATTTGATATAATATAGAACAAAACCTATTTGATTTATAGAGTTGATTATCCAACTCAACTTCGTGTTCGTCGTTGGTCATTCAATTGCAGAGAACTTCTTTCAGATCCAACTGGTGTATGTGAATTTATGAAGTTTTGCAAAGCTGATTTTTCAACTGAAAGCCTAAATTTTTATTTACATGTACAAGAAATACGTAATTGTTCATTCTCACAAATAAAACAGAAAGCTGATTATGTTTATCGGTTTGTTTTTATGAAAAAGTCAATCATTTATTTTAGTGTTTGTTATTTGTTTAGAGAACATTTAGCACCAAATGCACCACAAGAAGTTAATATAAATGATACAATACGAACAAAAATTGTTAAACAACTGGACAATCCTGACCGGTAAAATAAACGAAAAAATTCAATCGTTTAAAATCGAATTCATTTCTTTGATTTTATAGTGACATTTTTATGGAAGCTGAAAAGCATATTCATGAATTAATGAAAAAAAATAGTTATTCACGTTTTATACAATCTGAACAGTATCGAAATCTTTTACAAAATGCACCTAATCCTTTACCAAAGAAACCGTAAGAAAAATTTTGAGTACTTTATTTCAAATAAAATTTATAAAACAACTTTTTTTTTTGTTCTTATTAGTGGTATATTTCATTTTGTTAAAGACAACTATTTCCGTTTATCATCAAGTAGTAGTGACGATGAATATGATTCAGATGATGAAATTCACAAAAATGACAATACAATCACAAATGCTGCTGGTAATAATATTCAAAATAAATCTCAACCACTTGCTGGAACATTAGTAAATACAGCAGCTATTGCAACTGCAGTTGTTGCAGTATCTGCAGCACCAATGCAATCTGTGGATAATAATGGCAAATTGTAAAAAAAACCAAAGAAGTTTTTTGATTATTAGGTGTTTTTTTTTATTTCTTTTAGAGGTTCTGCATATAATCAAACAGTCATCAAATAGAACTTAACTAAATTATAAATATAAATCGTATTTATTTATTTATTTATTGTTTCCACACAATGCATTTCTTTTTCCAATGGCTTATTTGAAGCTTATGTTTATGTTATACATCTTTTTGATGACTATAAACAAATTTTTTTTTTCTAAAATTTTTCATTGTAAATGTATTGCTCTGTTGCTTTTTGCTTTATGCTTAACGACAAATTAACGTTTTATTTTTGTGTTGTCTTTCACTAAGCTTTTGTTGTAGCGAGTTTTCGATAATTGTGTTGCTAAACCATACCATCGAAAAAACAAACGAAGTGTCTAGTAGACATTTTAATATAATTTTTACAAAAAACTATCCATATTTCTAGATGAATACTACGAATGATGATTTTTCTTCTCCGATAACAACAATTATTATTCAACCACAAATATCACAAATCAATTTTAAACGAAATAAACTTATTTTTCGCCTTGGTTGGATATCATTTATACTTGGATTTTGTGCTTATGTTATACATTATATATCAATAGATCGTTTAGCAAATTTTTCACCAATCAATGGTGGAATTATCTCAGGTTTTCTTCTCATAATTGCTGGTTTAGCATCTGTTGCTGCTGGCTATAAAGAAAACTCATATCGATGTTTTATACATGCTCAAATTTGGTCATTTATTGCTAATATTATATTAGCACCAGGTCTTATTGCAGTTTCAATTACTGCATTAATTATTGATAGTCAAGATATACATTCAATATGTCAATCAACTGTATCATTACCACCAGGAATAACTTTTGTAAATAAGCTAGAAGTTTATCCATTGAATGTTCCATGTATAGAAGTAACAAATTTATTTAATTTAACTCAGATACTCAATACGATCGAATTAATTATTGGTGTTTTATGTTTTTTCGTTCATATTATTCTTATATCTATACAACAAAAAATAATCAAACAAATGAAAATTGAACGAAATCATCGTATTAATAAAATTATTGTTGATACTGAACCAACTATCACTAATACGAGTAAGAACAATTACTTAAAAATTGTTCGTTTGTACATCATGAAAATTGTTCTGAAACAAACATTAGTTTTGCAAACGAAGAAGAGACTATTTACATTAGATAAAATATTACTATACGATAGAAGAAGTACATTTTTATATCATACGTTTGATAATGAAATTTTCGAAATCTATAGCAGAAGTAAAACAGAGAACAATTGCTTCAACTATTCATAAACTAGTTTCTTAGTTCTCTGTTTTTCTAGTTAAATCTATAACTTATTCATTATTTAGATCATACAACATGTGATGCTGATACTCCACCAAAATATGAAGATCTTCCTTCAAGACAATTCATATCTGAATGAGCAAGATATTTTCAATAACCAAAAAAATGCCAATATTGTTTTTTTTTTAATTATTTTCATGTTAGTGAACTATAATTTGATCGGGTTCTCTTAAAATTATTTTAATGTAGTTTTAGTTTGTCAGATAAATAATAAATTCTCGGGGATTGAAAATAGATCTATGACAATTCGAATGCTATTGCACTCATCTAAAAAAGGTGTTTTTCTTGTTATACGAATGATTTGTACTTTGTAAGTATTGCAAACAGAGCTTAGCGTTGGATACGATGGAACAAAAAGAATTGTCTTATGGTATGAACTTTCTCGGTGTCATATTCTAACGGATTAAATGATGTTCAAATTTTTTTATCCTTTATTATAGAACTTTAAAAGAATCGAACCTATTGTAGAAAGAAGGATAATTTATCAGTACACTTTTTGATTCAAACTAGCTCTATCAAATCTAAGATTATCTCATCTTGTACTCCATAAACTCAGGAAAATCAAACGTACTCTTTCATTATTTGTTGATTTATTATTATCTGTCTTTTTCTTGACTTTTTATTAGTTACGGTTCTTAACTATGTACAAAAATAGACAAACATTTTATTTTTCATTATAGTACTATTTTGTGCAAGCAATAATGATGCCTACATTAGAATGATTGTATTGTTCTTTAAAAAAAAGACAATAACCATTCGTAATAAGTATTGATACCATGGGATGAAATAATATGTGCTTAGGAAAAGGTTTCATCTTATGGGACCAGATATTTTTTTAATATATTTTCTCGCCTAATTGATCGCATAGTTATAAAAGATTTTTTATCCTATGGGATACAGTAGAATTATCCTACGATTACGTGATGTCTTAATTTAAATATTTTTCATCAAATATTTATTTTGAATTCCAGATCATCAACAAAATCTTTTATTTCCTCAATCTAATGAAGACTTGCATGCTAGAAAATAATTTTCAGTATGTGATATTTTAATACGATCGACTTTAATAAACATGTTCTTCAAATTGAATGAGATAGTTCGAAGTCAATAAATTATTCTTTTAGATAGAAAAGTTTCATAGCAAAAACAAACCATTAGAAATACGAAATTAGCTGCATAAAGCTTTAAAAAAGACATCTATTCTGATTAAACAGTCTGTCTCATTTCGTAAAATTCTTCAAATGTCTTCATACTTTACACAACTTTTCAAATATACATTATCACTAATTCGTTTTCAAATTCGATCATTCTAAAAGATGCAACAGATGTCGTTAGACATAATCCATTAATTAATATTTAGTGACATCTCTTGAACTAAAATCTTTTCCTTTCACTAATTAGAATAGCTACAACTGATAATGAGTAATCTAATCAAACAAATTATATTTATCTATATTCCGTCACTCAAAAAATGATAATTAAGTTATTTAGACCTCTACCTAATCTAACCTTTCTGTTGGTGCAAAGATAATGGCGATCAAGAGAAAGACTAATGGGGATGTTCTTTGTTTTTCCATGGAGGACATGCGTATTGTTCATTCATATATCATCTTGTACTTCTTATTCAAATAGAATTTGAATAGTTTTTCTTCTTTTCTCTCGTTTGTCTATTAAAACTAAAATGTCGGATACAACTGTTGACTCTCATCAAACAGTACCAGATAAAACAAATGAAAATGAACAAACATCATCAATTAATGGGGAAAAAAATTCGACAGGTGAACCAATGGATCAACAACAAACTGATTCAATATTAGATAAGGTAAATAATGATGTATCATCCAATGAGACGTCAACAAAAGATGATTCAACAACAAGTAAACAAAAGGCAGATTTATCAACATTACCAACACGTGCATATCTTGATCAAACTGTGGTACCTATACTTTTACAAGGTATGTCACAATTAGCTCGTGATCGTCCAGCTAAACCAATTGAAAGTTTAGCTTTATATTTACAACAAAATAAAGAAAAATATGGTGAATAATTTCTTATAAAAAAAAAACCATTTTCGCATTTGTTCTTTTTTTTTTCTATTGTTACTGTTGTTGTTATACATATTTCGGAATGTTATGAAGCAATTTTTTTTGTTGTGGTTGTTATAACTATACTTTTTAAAAGTGTACAGAAATTTTTTGCACTTATTACTGTTATGTATATTATTCACTTTTGAATTTAAGACAAAAAAAAAAACAATTTAACTTAGTGGGAAAAAATTTATTTAGAAAAACAAAACGAAGTTTCTTTTCGCGCCACTGGTTTTTTTAGATTTAATTCTTACGCGTATTTTATTAACTATGTCGGAAGTTTCGGGTGAAAATCAACAAACACCAACTAGTGCTGGTAGTGAATCAGGTGATAAAAATGTTGTAAGCACAACAACAGCAGCACCGGAACAAATGGAAGCTCAACCAGCTGTTGATTCAGGTGAGCAACAATCAAATGATAAGCAAGCATCATCGGCTGATGCAACAAAGGAAAATACTTCAAGTTCGCAACAACAATCAGGTGAAAAGACCAAACCTGATTTATCAACATTACCAACACGGGCTTATCTTGACCAAACTGTCGTACCAATTCTTCTTCAAGCAATGTCTCAACTTGCTAAAGAACGGCCTGCTAAACCAATTAGTTTTCTCGCTGAATACTTAGTTAATCATAAAGAAAAATACAATGAATAAAAGATAAAGAGAGAACGACAATATCAGATTCAGACAATTTCTTTTCATTCTCTTTCCCTCTTTGTTTCTTTTCTTTTTGCTGTTAATTGAACGATTATTATGATTATTCATTAACTATCTTTGTCTTCTTCTTTTTTTTTTGTTTCTTTTTTTTTCTCTCTGTATTTGTTGCGTTTCAAAAACATTGTCTACTGTTGTTGATTGTGGTTGTGTTTAAAAAGAAGAGAAAATAAAAAAAACTTAGAAAGAGAAACCTATGTGTTGATAAAGGCAGCATGAATATTCAAATCAATTGAAATGTTTTTTTATGATAAATACAAAAAAAACTTCATTTCGTTCAACTCACATCAGAATCAAGTTGTTTTCTTATTTGTGTATTTTACATATTATAATCTTGATAATTTAGGTTGACACTTCTTATCATTTTTTTTTGTTGATTTATCAGTAATTATTTATTAATATTCGTTTTGCTAATGCACATTCCAATTGATTCATTTGTATAAGAAGTCTAAATACAATTAATGAGAGAAGTATAGAATCCATTATTAAAATGAAAATTTTCTCTTGACAAAAAGAATTTCTTCAAAAATTTTTCCTATTGTTAAAATAAAATGAATAATTAATTCTTAAAAAAAAATATATGTATTAAAAAACCTAAGAGAAGAATAAGACTACAACGCACTTAAAAATAACCTTATCGGCAACACAAATTAGTTTCATCAATCATCGAATAATATTAATAGTTTTAATACGAAGTCATTTCAGAAACGATTTATCATAATTGAATCAAGGCCTAAAAATTTCCATAATGACACTATTTGCTTGAAATCTTGGTGAAACCATCGAGGGTAAGGATGAGAATGATAGGTTATATTGAAGGTTAGTGGTATGAGGATGTTTTCTAACTTATTACCTTATTTTTGACGATTGGGTCGCAGCTTATAGCAAACAATTTATTATGTCTATTAGAAAAAACAAAAAAACAACAATTAACCTTAACAGCGACATCAGCAGACGAAATGCTCCACTAGTGCGCACATTTGGAGGATATAACAAAGTAAAACAAAACGTCATATGGAACATATATATGTCGAAGAGTGTGCATGAACTTTGCATATTGATTTCTACGAAAGAAAAACTTCATTAGCTAATTTTCTACATTTCAAAAGTTTTCATGCAGACAATAATATTTCTAAAATTTGTGCCAACGCAGTTAGACTCCGCAGCTCTGGTTAATGCATCAAAATTTATATAAAAAATAAAATTAGTTACAACTTATTATTTCCTAAAGATCAAAGAAAAAAAATATTTACTCATAGGCTTCAAAAGGGCGAACAAAGTTTAAATATGTTTATGAATGTTGTTGCTTTTTGTAAAATAATCCAGAATTCACATATTATTTATGATCATCAACTTGTAAATCTATGTATTTGTTAATTATTGGAGATCGAATATTTGTTTCTTTCACATAGAACTATTCATGAGAACAACTGCTATTGTTTTTTTGAAACGAAGAATATATAAATATATATATTTGTAATCATCAACTAGAGATTCACAAATACAACTCATCAAGTTGTACTTATAAACAATCAAGAAAAAACAAATCAAATATTCATGACGATTATATTCTATCTGCGATTATCATCTCATCAAATAAGAAACAATTAACACATGAATATCTTTTATTTTATACACTTCTCGATTGTAGTACTCTCATAGAAACATTTGATTTGATTGAATTGTGTCACAATATCTATGAATGTGTCCGTCTTGTATATAGAAGTGAAAATTGCCATGAGCTACTCTAACTTTCATATTTTTTCCGCAGATCATTGTTATTATTAATTTGAATTATCTAAAAAGAATCATAGATCACTTTAGATTCATATTATGAATATTGCTCAGCTCAGTTCAATTTTTAATCTTCGATAAATAGACAAAATTTGATATTAATAGAAAGATTTTGTTTTTTATCACTATTATCATTATAATCAAACAAATATCTTGAGTTAATACTTGATAATGTTCAAACTTTGGATGGATGATCACTCTAATGATTAGAGAAGAGGGATATTAATAAAAAGATAAAAGATTTATTCATATTATAAGAAACTTATCAAAAGAGACAAAAATTATTTTGCATCTAATACAATAAAACATGATTTATTTCAAACTGCTATCATTTTCTATTGAAAAAGCAACTTGATAAGAACTTAAATCCGTATGGAGAAGTTATCTCGTTATCACATCTACTTTTCTCAACCAAATACTTATTTGATCGGTCACTTATCGTTTTCGATAAGATTGAAGTGCAGCAGATAGAGAATTAGTTTAGAAAAATAGTTCTGATTTCTTCCCTTGTGGTAACAAGACAGTGCTTACAGGTAGTCCAAAAAGTATCCGGACACCTCCATGGTTTTTCGTATTTCTTGGTTTGCGAAACAGAAATAAGAGATACAATTTTTCTTTTTTCACCAGTAGATAGCCTTTGTTTTGTGCAATTTTTGAAGGCTTTCTAACGATATATTTGGAAATTAATCTTGATAAAAAATTGATTGTAATCTTTTACTTGCACTGTTGTATTAAGCATGCTCAAGAATCTGATTTCTTTTGAAATAGTTCATATTGTGAAAATTAACTTTTTTCATTGAAATATTATGAGAACAGATAGAGCTCGCTTTACTCGTTCTAGTTGTGTTAAAATAATATAATTGTGACGTCCGAAAGCCAAGCACCTATCATATTGGAAAATCGGACATTTCAATGAGAGACATTCTCGTAATTCGAGATAATAATCAAAATTGTCTATTTTTATAAAGAATCTAGTATGAACTGAGGACTATCTACTGACGAAAAAAGAAAAATAATATCTCTTGTTTCCATTTCGAGAATCAAGATATATAGGTGTCCGGATACTTTTTGGACTACCTGTACATATTGATTTATACTCATATCAAATTGTTTTCTCTGAAGAGCACTGCTTGCTCTTTCAAATTTGACAAAAGTGAAAAATGACATAAAACGTCTACTAGGAAGAAAGAACCTAAAAATGAAAAATGTAGGCATTCTTTTATCGATACGAAAACAGAGGCAGCTAAGATATTGACATTTGAGATACTCATTGAGGTTCCTAACACATATAATGATTTTTGATTCATTTTCAGGAAATAAACTCAAAAATACTTCTTCGTGAATTAAGTTGTAAAAACTAATTTTCTGAGTAAATATCTTTGAGTTATCTCGATATAATCTTCTATTTTTTCTTATCCCTTGTTAATGTTTCCATCGATTATATCTGGGAACATATTATAATGTTACAAAAAAAGAAATTAACTGAATTCTTCATCTGATTCTACATCGTTCTTAATGAAGCGTTACAACATCTGTTGGAAGATATTAATTTTCGATATTGTCTATTTTTTTCAACCATGGTTGATTTGTTATGTATAAAATACAACATCATGCATCATTAAAGCTGTGTTATATGTTCTCGTTTTTCATAAATATAATATTCTGTCATTATTTTGACGATCAAAACTTGGTTTTATAGAGTCATTTTGATATAGAAAACAACAAAATATCATGATCAAATATATATTGAAAAATTAAATATCGAAATGTTTGAATATTTTCTTTTCTTAAAATTCAACTTACATTTATCGATCAAATTTATATAGTTGTTTTATTTTTCTTTTTGAGTTGAATCATTCGAATAGAACAAATACAAACAGAAATAATTAATTAATAAATGAAAATACACTGATACAAAGATAAAACTGAGTATTCATTTAAACAGTTAGAAAGATCAAATAAAAAGACAATCCACGCATAGACACTGTACAAAATTTTAACGATTTCATACGAATATATATATAAAGAAAAAAAAAAAGATTTCTAAGTGCAGATGTGATAAAAAAAAAAAGAAATGATCTTATCAGGAACTTTAGTTGATCTTTAGAGAGATATACAAGGCAACAAATTGGAGACGGAATGAATAAAAGAAAGAAGAATAAGAAAGAAAACATATTCACACACGTAAGTTTTTATCATATCGAATGGTTTCTTTTGTTTTATGGACTATCGCGTTGGATGATATTTTTCTGTTGCAATAATTGGGTTTCAAGTTGTTTTAATGCATTCGAATGAATTTGATCCATTTGAGCTATTTTTATTGAATGTTGTTGTTGTAATGCAATAACAAATTTAATTAAATCTAATGAAAATTTACAAAAAAAAAAAAACATTATTTAATAATAATAATAGTTATATGTTGTTTACCGTCTTTTGAAGTTGATTGAAGATCGTCAGGTAAAAGTTGCATATGAATATCATTATCTATATCATCGGATGGTAATTTATTATTAAAATTAAATGTTGTATTCAAGATAGATGTTGTATGTGAATAAGAGTCTCCATTATGATTCCATTCATGAGATGGTGATGTTAGAAAACCATTAGTTGGTGTTGATGTCCATGGAGATGATGGACATGTTGCAGGTGATAAAAATTTTGTATTGGAACGTAAACTAAAATAAAATTGAGACAGATGATGAAATCTATTATCATAAAGAAAAAAACAAAACTTTATATATATTACCTTGATGCGGAATCAATATTTTCATGATCTAATAAAGAACGATTTGTAGTTGATTTATCAAGTCGAGGACTATTAGTCTATAAACAATAAAAATGAGTAAATTATTGACAATAGAAAATGTCTCTAGTGAATATATTTATTTTCTTTCAACAACTAAAAACTGTAATTATTGTTTAGTTAATGAACTAGAACTCATTAATTGATATTTGAATTGAAAGAAAATCTTTGTTCTTTATTTTTGTTTTAAAGATCATGTAGAACAAACAGTAAATAAATTTGTTCTTAAAGTACATAGCTAAATGTTATTTCACACTCTTATCGTTCGTATTCAATTTTTATTGTTTTCATATATTAGGTTTCTTAAACTAAAAATAATTGAAATTACCTTTGATGATGAAAA